TATTAGTAAGTTAACTATTCCTATAATAATCGGTCTTATAGCTTAGTAGTAGAGTTCCTACCTATAATTATAGAAAACCTACTATAAGCTAATTCCTATAGGTAGTTCTCTATATATATAGGAGGTCCTAGGTTCGATTCCTAGTAGGACTAATACTTTTGCTCTTTTCCTTCTAGTAGGTTCTAGTTATAGGAGTCTTATTTTATTAGGTTTAATCTACTAGCAATAGTCGCTCTTATAGCTTAGAGGTAGAGCGCCTATCCGCTATTACCTATTTAGTTCTACTACTAATCTAGTGGATCTAAAAAGGCAGATAGGAGATCCTAGGTTCGATTTCTAGTAAGACCAGTCTTTTTACTTTTAGTCTAACCTATAGGAAAGGCAATTAAGTAGGCATATACTAGTTATAGGTGCAATTAAGCTCTCTTTCTTTTATACTTTGTAATTACTATTATATTAGTTATAACTCAACTTATTATATACTAAAAGTATATATTAGTAGAAAAGGGGTTTAGATTTAATATTATTATAGATACTATATATCTCTATTGCTATAGTAATAGAAGTAACTAAGTTTTCTAGTTACCTTAGTAATGTATATATATTACTATATATCCTTATTGCTATAGCTATAATAGTATCTAAGTTTCTCTATTGCCTTAGTATAGTAGGTAACTATGTATCCTAGTTACTATAGTCTCACTTTTTACTTGTTTATCTCCTAATATTTTAGTAGAGCCTTAATAAGTTACATAGATTCTAGAGTTATATAAAACCCGGGCTTATAACTACTTAAAATATATTGCTCTAATTACCTAAAAGGTATGCCCTCTTATAATAGGAATCTCTTACTAGTATAGGAAGTAACCCTAGAAAGCTATAGAATTAACTAAAGGTAGAGATGTAAACTATGCTAACAAAAGCCTACTAATAGTATATAGAGTAGTAATTAATTAAAGAGAGAGTATCTACGGGTGTATGCTTAACTAAATAGCTTGCTTTGCTAAGACTATCCTACTAAGTCCTATCTATAATTATTGCAGATATATTTATAATAGAACCTTACTATATTATAATAGAGTTGTAACATCTATAGGTGTACTAGGACTATACTAACTTTAACTAGTTATATATATTCGGTATTACTATTTATCTATATATATAATCGGATTCTTTATATCTAGTTTTCTCTTTATAGTGGTTTTAGTTTTATAACCTTAAAGTAGGACTAGCTCTAGTAACTAGAAAGTTATCTATAATCTTCTAGTAATATAGTTCTTATATAAGAATAGTATTAAAGTCCTAGATATTCGGGTCGTTATATAAGGTATCCTAAACTTCTAAGCTCCTATATAGATTTACTTAAAAAATATTTAGTATACTAATTATAATAATATAAGTTAATTTTCCTTTCTTATTACTTTTTATACTTAGGGCATTTCCTATAGCCTACTAAGTAATTCCCTCTATAATTATCGTACTTCGGTTTACCTAGCTTATAAATATTATATTCTTCTTATATATACTATAAGTACCTAGTAGTATTCTTATAGTCCTTCTATGTATATCTAAATTAATAGTAGTTATAGTAGGATCTTAGTCCTCTATTATTATAGAAAGGTAAGACTTTAACTATATAGCTAAATAAGTATACTTTTTTCCTATCTACTTATTTCTAGAGTAGCTACTATAGATATATAGGAGGTATGCTCCTTTAGTCTACCTAGCTATCTTATTAGCTTAACTTCTACTTTATTCTTCTCTATAAAGGCCTCTTATATCTCTTAGCTAATTGCTCTAGTTTAGTAATCTATCGCTTCTAGCTTAAGAATAAAGTCTACCTTAATAGGGTACTAGATAGATTCGATAAGTCTTATCCCTTTAAGGAATATAGGTAGCTATTTATCTATATATACTTTTACTACTTTTTCTACTTCCTTATCGATCTTAAAGTATACTAGGTATATATCCTTATTTATATATCTAATTATAAACTAATTAAGGACAATTTAGTCTAGTCCTTTATTAGACCTAATTATAGCTAGGATTTAGTTCTTAGTTCTTATTATTAGATTTGTTCTAGTATATCCTTCTATTTCGAGTTTCTTTATATCTAGTACTATGTCTGCTTGTTATTTATTCTTTATCTTCTTTATTGCACTTCTAATCGACATTCCTACTAATATTAGGGGTAACTATAGAGGGCTTACCTAGTCTAATAGATCAAATAATACTAATGTCCTTAAAGACCTAACTAGTATTATCTCTACTTCCTAGCTTAATAGCTATACTCTATAAGCTATAATACTCGCATAGGAATTAGTCGTTCCTGTCTATATAGATAATGACTAGAGGGAGCCCTAATTTAGGGCTACTTCCTATAGACTCTTAATATCTAGGACTAGCATCGTAACTATCATCTGTAATTGTCTAATCTCCTCCCTATATCTATCTTCTTTTTCTTGTGCTTTTCTTTCTCTTTCTTATTCTTTTCTCTCTCTTTCTTATTCTTTCTCTTCTCTTTCTTTAGCCATTCTTTACACTACTAGCAGTTGTCGCATGATATCATTCATCGTGACCTCTCTAGGTACGTCGCTATCTTTGCCACTACTAGGTGTCGGGCTGCCCTCGACCTAGTGGCTAATGTCCCTACCTTCCTTTTCTACGCTCCTAGTCGTCATTCTTATAGCCATAGGCGAGGTTCTCTTTCTAGGCGTGACCTCTGCCGATGCAGAGTCGGAGTCGTTATTAGATCGGCTGTCGCGTCTCGGGGGGCTTCCCTCTGCTCTACCTTCTGGTCCTTCTCTTTTTCTCTTTTCTGCATGATCCCTGTCTCATGTTGATCCGGTGATGCGAGACTGGCTTCTTATGCACAGCAGCTTTCCCATTCTCCTGCTCCTCTTGGTGGTGTTTTGGGAAGACATGGCGCGTCCTACGGTTTTTGTGGTTGCTGTTAGATGGTGATTATAACGTTCTCATTTCCAATATCGAAGGTTGATAAGTTAGGAGATGGGTGTCCAGGAGGTTATGTCCACAGGCAAATGGAGTTCTGAGGAGACTCGTAACTGCCAGAAGCTTGCTAAAGACCCCGTTTACCCTTCTTGCCCTCAGCTCATGTCATGAAAGTCGCAAACAACAAATGAAACAACTCGTATAAGCCCTATTGGTTGAGATCTGTTCTTGACATTCATTTTGTTCAGCTGGCAAATCGCCGCAGATCAGCGCCAAAGTCCCGTATAGATATTGCCAGGCTCGTTGGCCGTTCTGGGACGTTGTGTCACCAACGCAAGGCCAGTGCTGGCATTGCTTGGTGCGCATCACGGGCAGCCATCGAGTTTGAAAGCTGTAGACATCGCATTGCGACTGGAAAAGAACTCTAATCTTGACCGCCACCCACCGGCTCTGATGCGTTGACGATAAGCACATAAGTTGTCGCTAAGGTTGTGAATATTCGCCTCAAACCCTCTTTTTGTAATTCTCACAAATCTACTTCTCTAAGATCTGGAGCACAGGGCGTTGGGAAGCCCAGAGCAGGGGTCTTGTGATCGCACCAGAAGTTGGAACGCGTGAGGACCAAACAGCACCTCTCGGCTGTTGAAGGGGCGATAAGGTTCAAGTGCCGCAAGGAGTAAAAGCCGTGGCCTTTTCGCATTGCACGATGCAACTTCAGCTCTTCACTTCCAAGACATCGCATTAAACAAATTCCGGCTCTTTTTGAAACAATTCTGCGCAGAGCAGTATACACACTCTGGTGTCATGGTAGCACGATGTGTTCGTCGCTTTTCAGCAAGAAAGAAAAAGATCGGGAACACGGACCGCTGCTGCCGTTGCAACGGCTGGATTCGTAATGCCTCGTGTTCACCCAAGTACCCGAACTCTATTGAAGCTGTCAAGTCCAGTCTCTTGGGTCGAAGGCTTCTTCCTGGGTTTTCCTGGACGAGTCCACTTCCCCAAGATCGTCGTCAGACACAACGAACGTATGTCGATCAACAATATGTCGAAGTTTTCAACAAGACATTCAGCTTCACTCTCGCCTGGAATATCTCTTCAAGGCCTTGCATCTACACCCTTTATACTTAGCTTTAGATAATGGGAGAGATCTTTTGTAAGTCGTTCGCGCGGCTTGCGAAGTATAAGACTGACTTACGAATTGAAAGCTGTAGTCGTTAAGGATTTGCGATATCACCTCGTAAGGAGTGTCCAGTCCATCCGCACCAAGCGGGTATGCCTCTTTGATTGCGGCATCTAGCGATGGTGAGAATCCAAAATTACCGTTGAGCCAGATCGTGACATTATTCTGGCCAACTTGGAAAACTCTGTCATTGGTGAGCAACGTCCAATCACTAGCAAGAGACTAAAGCTGCTTACCTTCCTCCCTGCAACTCAATCCTCTTGCACAGCCGCAATACACGCGAAATTGGCTGCGAAGAACGATGGGAAAGACAAGAAAGCAGAAGGGTCCTTCCAAATGCCTAGAGGGCTGAGACAATCACTACCCGAAGCATTCAAGGAGCATGATCCGAGTTCTTTACTCGATACATTTGAGTTTTGAGTCTGCGCGAGCATTTGACGAGAGGCATTTTGTGTTCCGGGATTTGCATTGTTATATCTTATCAGCTCTTGTAAAGCAAAATGACCGGTCAATCTTTCTTGAACTAAACCTCTAAGTGAATCCGCACGTTGTGGTTCTATGTTGCTTTCCAGCGACTTTGGTTTCTGTCCTTTCAGGATTGACTCTCTGCTTTTTTTTGGCGAATCCACTAATGAGTACGCCTTTTGATCATGTGGTATGTTGTTCTATCAGTAATGGGACAAGACGTGCTAGGCTTCGACATCCAGAGCTCATCCAATCATAGCTTTTATGCCTTTTGGTGTTGTATCGGCTAAAGTTTTGCATTTGCGTATAGGGTACATTAGACAAATTTCAGTGGACCTCGTGATTTAGCCCGCAGATTGGTATCAGGCTTTGCTTGGCTGCATGCGAATATCCTGTCGCTCATTTAATCTGTCTCCTCACGTATCTTGGAGGCAGTCATTAAGGTTCGCTTGCCAGTATGCGCGTCCCAATCCCATCCGTACTGCTGCCACTTCCACACTAAATACGCTGATAAGTCTTTGTCCCCTGGCACAACCCTCATCCATTCAGGCTCAACACCTTCTCTGCCCTCCAAGTCTCTCAGCTGATCTCGGTAGAAGATCCTGTAGCTATCCAGGGCATAGGGCCCCATTCCAGGCAGATGCGCCACTTCCCAACCTTGTCTTGCATCATCTGTTGCCAAAATCTCTCCGGGACGGATATTTTTGCCAGACCCGCGTGTAGGGTAGTTTAACTTTCGATACCGCCGTGTCGCGCATGGGGGGGCTTCCACCCATGTTTTGCCAAACGCAATGAGACGAGCGGCGCGGATGTTTTGCAGACCGATGGGCTGCAACAGCTGTGAAAGTATTTCGACTGGTGCTAACGAAAGGGCGGCAGGAGTCGGGTACAGGGTCAAAATCTTGAAGAGGATAGGCCTTGCTTGCAAACCATGTGTTTGGTTCCATAGGATGGATTGAATCAACAGAGCATATAGACTGGTAAGTATACGCTCTTGCATAAGGCCAAAGGAAGCGGGCTGCAACATGAAAGGCAGACCCAAAGGTTGGTGAATCACGCGCGAGCGTCTCGGATCATTCCTCCTGTCTGTAAGCTTGCTAGAGCGTCGTAGTTGAGAGCCAGGCAGATATTCTGTGGGAGCGATGATGGTTGGATCTAGCAAAGCAGCCTTTCTTCGGGACCGAGTAACAGCCATATTCAATTAGTCGTATTCAGTCACTCTAGACTGCAGACCAGTGGCGCCAATGATCAAAGTCACACTCCGGAGCTGAGTTCGAGATTTGTTTAACAGGACAAGTAAGATCATGGTACAGGAAAGCAGGATTAATCGCACGTCTGAAGAAGGACACGTATTATTTGCGGGGGCGGCTATGACGTATGGAACCCACTAGCTATAGGGGTAGCGAGATATAATTTTTATTGTAGACCTTTTTTTCTTTTCTTAAAGCTAGAGTTTAGTATAGATTTATATAAATACTAATTTAGTAAAAGAGTTGAAAAGTTTCGCCTGATTGTCGGAAGGTAGAACTACCGGAGGGAATAGGTGTTATGGCCAACTATTCTCTTGGAAGAATAACTAGTCACGGGGTTGGACTCGTGAAGAGGAGTGTCAAGCGAGTAATGAAGCAAGTAGTGTGATGTGTAGTAGTGTATACCAAAGGGACTGTTGGAATAACTAATTGAGTTGAACGCAGAACTACCGATGGTCGTTCTGCCTTCCTATATACCTTCTCCATAATGAGTGTATGTAGGTTGCTCTGTATGCTCTGTTCTGCTCTGTAGAGCAGAGCAGCAGAGCACAACAGAGCACCTTGCAGGAGCCTGCAGGCTGCTCCGGTGTGCCAAGCCCTTCGGGCTGGCGGAGCACCTCTTGATTGGTGCAGAGCTTCTGGCCGGCAGGGTCACCTTGCTGTCCAGCGCTTGTGATCGTAACATACACCTCCGTCAGACTAACTAAGTAGGAAATCATAGTTGCAGGCGACTTCAACCGGCATGACAGTCTGGGGGGAGGATCCCACGTAGTGCTAGAGCGAAGGCAAGGAGGAGGAGCTCAGATCCTTGACTTCCTAGAGTGCAACAACCTACAAGTGCTCACACCGAGAGGAATGGTTACATGGGAAAGGAATGAGCAGAGGTCTACCATTGATCTAATAATGGCCAGCGAACGGCTATACGAAGACAGAACTGCCTGCAAAACATGGGTTAACGAGTACGGATCAGACCATAGAGCAGTGCACACAGCATCTTCAATGGATCGGGATCAGGAACAACAGCAAGTTGAGAGATACCTGCTTCAGAAAGCAGACTGGAACGCCGTCCGCAGGACAATCACCCAGACGCTTGAAAGTTCACCATTTCCAACTACGGACATAGAGCAAATGCAACAGTACATTCAGAATGCAACCGAGGATGCAATCAAGCAGCACTGTCCTAAAGCAAAGCCGTCAGCATATGCGAAGAGATGGTGGACACCAGATCTGACAGCTCTGCGTCAGAACTACACATGGACGCGGAACCGTGCAAGAGCAAGGCGTAGGCAAGGAAACCGGAACATGGACCTTGAAGTTGCAACAAAGATAGCAAGACATGACTTCCATCATGCAATTAAGAGAGTCAAGAAACGGCATTGGACCGAGTTTCTAGACGATACCAAGAACATCTGGAAAGCAACAAGATATTTAGACCCAGGCACAGGATCAAGCTTTGGCGGGATCACGTCAATCAAAGGCCAAAATGGTGAACTAACACAAGATAAACCAAGCATAGCAAGAGAACGCTTAGCTAGCTTCTTCCCACCACCGCCGGAACCTCAGCAACCAGATGAAACTAGAGACGACAATGCAGAACAGTTCATGCTAAGAGGGTTAACAATCGACGAGATAGAAAGAGCACTGTCTGCAACAAGCCCTGATCGTGCGGCAGGAAGGGATGGTCTAACAACTAGAGTATGGAGGGAAGTGTGGCCAGGTCTGCAACAGCAGATCTGTCAGCTCTTCTCGACATCTTTAAGGCAAGGCAAACTACCAGAGCAATGGAAGGTTGCAAAGATCATTCCTCTTAAAAAGGGAGGCAAGGATGGCTACACGCTTCCTAAGAACTATCGTCCAATTTCCCTCCTTGCAACCCTAGGAAAGATCATGGAAGCAGTGATAGCAACCAGGATTGCTTACCTTACTGAGGTTCACAAGTTGCTACCAAACAACCACTTTGGAGCTCGGAAACAAAAGTCAACAATTCATGCCATATCATACCTACAAGAATCCATCTTCAACGCATGGAGGGGAAGGAAAACTCTCTCGCTAGTCTCCTTTGATGTCAAAGGAGCCTATAATAATGTTTCGACAGAACCGTTGCTGCAACGACTTAGACAGAGAAGGATCCCAGAACCCATAGTCAGTTGGGTACAGGATTTCTGCACCAACAGAAAAGCATGTGTCATGGTCAACGGGTTTACATCTGAAGTGGAGGACCTGCCACAGGCAGGATTGCCGCAAGGGTCACCCCTAGCGCCGATCCTGTTCCTCTTCTTCAACGCCAACCTTGTACAGCACAAGATTAAGGAAGGCGGCTCTATGGCCTTTGTGGACGACTACACAGCGTGGGTGGTAGGAGACTCAGCTCAGCGCAACACAAGAAGAATCCAGCAAGAGATTTTACCGCAACTAGAGAAGTGGGAAAGGGAAAGTGGTGCTGTCTTCGAGTCCTCGAAGACAGCCTTTACCCATTTCACCAGGAACACATCGCTAGAACGGGATAGCGACATGCCCTTAAAATTCAAGCAGGACATAATTAGACCTAGCCAATCGGTCAAGATCCTAGGCATTATTATGGACCAAGGACTAAGATACAAAGAACATGTCGCAGGAAAGGCAGATAAAGCCTATAAGGCAGCACTAGCGCTAAAAAGGTTGCAAGGACTCAGACCATCAAGTATGCGACAATTGTTTTCGGCTACCGTGGCACCAGTCATGGATTATGCATCGCCTATATGGTATTTAGCAGTGTCGGACAAGACTCTAGCAACACTGGAGAGAGCCCAAAGAGTCGCAGCACAGGCCATAGTAGGAGGATTCAGAACCATGGGTCTAAATGTAGCAGTCATAGAAGCTGGCATTGCAACGACACGGCAGAGATTGCACGAACAAACTCTCAGATTCTGGATCGGCATCCACAAGCTAGACGACTCTCACATCCACCACAAGCTTGCTAAGTACAAGGGCAAGAAGCGTTTCACATCTCCACTACGGAAAGCAGCTGTCCTATTTAAAAGCATCAAGGCTCGGCAAGCAGACAAAATCCCCACAGTCGGATGTGAACCGTGGGTGCCAAAACCCCGTGTCTACCTATTAGACAAGGAACAAGCCAAGCAAGCCACTGCTATAGAAGACGCAACAGTCGATTTCTATACTGACGGATCAGTGAGGAATGGCAGAGCAGGAATTGGTATATGGTCATCGTCATCGACATCGACATGGGGGGTCAAAGCTAGTAGGAAGGGAAGAAGACACTAATGTCCATCACACGGAGTTACTAGCAATATGGATGGCAATCAAAGGTATCCCAGACGACATGAACAGCCAAGTACGAATTCGGGTGTTTTCAGACAGCCAGGGAGCGTTGCAGAGCATCCTGAGCCCGAAGATCAACGATAGCATCAACCTAGTCATACGAATAAGAGAGAAGATCAGGAAAGGAACTTTTTCTCTCCACTGGGTTCCTGGACACGAAGGAATTGCAGGCAATGAGAGAGCTAATTAGCTAGCTCAAATGGCAACGGAAGAATCACAACCGATGCCAGCACCCGCTGCAACAGTACCCATATCAGTGATCCATGGTAGAGGGAAAGCAGCAGGCTTCAAGCCTGAGCAAGAAGAATTCTATGGAGCCAAAACTGGAAAGTTCTTACAGAGAATCGACAAGGCACTGCCAGGAAAGCATACAAAGAAGCTGTACAACGCGCTCAACAGGACAGATGCTGCTATACTAGCACAGCTCAGAACGAACATATCCAGGCTGAATACCTACCTGCACAAGATCAAAGTGGTAGAGACAGATAAGTGTGACTGCGGAGTGTTGGAAACAGTCCAACACTTCCTATTCTTCTGCCCATGATGGAGACAGCAAAGACAAGACATGAAATCAGCACACGGCAGGAGATTCTGCAACATATCATATGCCCTAGGAGGATACTCAGACCACAAGGAGAATGGCAAGATTGTGGATGGCGAGAGAGACAGGTGGCGACCAGACTGGCAGGCAGTGAAAGCCACTATTGAGTTTGCAAAGGCGACAGGCAGACTGCAATATCAAGTGTGAGAACAACTAACGGATAGGAAGTGCCTAGGGACCAACTATTACACGGTCACCATCTCAGCAACACAACTGCCTCCAAGCAGCGTCTTGCCGATAAGGATGTACGCGACATAGGGAAGAGCCCTTATGGAGGAGGCTACCGGCCCCCACACTGAAAGAAGGATGTGTACAACACTCATTACAAAGGCACTTAGGAGTTATCGGCGTTGATGGTTTACACGGTCTGCTGCGACCATTACCCTCCTTTCTACTGAATCCGACGGATGCTATTGGTCAGAATGATGCGTAAATAGCGACAGCTCATACCCCTTGCGGGGTAAATAGCTTTAGAAAATCAAATCAAATCAAATCAAGACTAACTGAGTAGGCACCTGCAATCGATGAAAACCCCTGTAAAACCCCAATGGGGAAAACCAGGGAAAACCAATCACAGCGTAGGGATCCTGCCGCTACCACGTCGAAGGGGGCGTTGCCCGAGCACATTACAAGGTTCATTGCCGTGAGCGTACAGGGTTGGGGGAGTGGGACTCGAACCCACGATCTTCTTCTTGTCGTGAAAATGGGTGTATACATAGATACTTTAAGAAGGATCACCAGGCGCTCTCCCCGTTGAGCCATACCATCCCCCCTATGTACTTGATATATAATGAGTGTATGCATGTTGCTCTGTACGCTCTTTCCGCAGAGTGTTCTGTTCCGCCAAGGCGTGGGGAACAACATAGCAGGCTGCGCGACCCTGTCATTGGCAGGATCGTAACGATGGGTTCGGCTCATGCGCCAAGTCTTGGCGTCCGCACAGCATCTTGCGGACTCCAGATTAATAGCTTCTCTTTCCTTTCTTTATCGAACCTGTTACCCATTTTGGCACACTGAACCACTGTGTATACATTGTTCACCCGTGACAAGCGGTATCTGCGATCATACATATCTTGAGTCTACCGAATGAGCCAATACTCACGTTTCGTCAATCGTTACCGATACCTATGAGATTAAAGATGTGTTGTTTCTTCCCTGCTGCAACGGTCGAACATTGTATGATAGAATATGTCTTTTGCATGCGCGCAAATCAAGGTCCGGTTCTCGGGAACCTGGATCGCGAACGACGCCTCGAGGGCCGACTCCATGCGTTGTTTAACCGTGGCCATCGTACGAAGAATGGGTCGTTGTTGTGCTGAAATCGCGCGTCGAGCGGCTTACTGACTGGCTCTTGGTTCTGGGCTTGGTTCAACCCTATCACCGAAGTCTGGAGAAGCCGGGGGCCTCTTGGTCGATTTTCCTGCTTCCAATCCTAGAAGGCTGCCGGTGAGGATATACCTTCCTTCTGAGTGTCTATACGGTCGCGACAGTGACAATAGCCAAGGAACTGCCAAATCTTCTCTCCCGGGTGCTGGCCACGGTGTCGTTGTCTCGGTCATAATGTTGTGGATTGTTGTAAGTATTGGCACCATGACGGTAGTATTACCGGCGAGATTGCTGTTTACCCCGTATGCAGCAGCATTCGAGAGGGGATAAGTGAAAAGGCAAGCCGAAAGAATGGGAAGGACAACAGAGAAGACTAAGTGTCCACCTTTACGTGACACTGCCTGGAAGGATCCGCTAGTCGGCACTGCATTGAAGAACATTACCAAGATGAGAATTGATCGCTTTCGCAACTCATAGCATCGCTAGTATCAACAATATGGCCGACAGAGCCTTAAAATGTTAGAAGAGCGTGATCGGCGAAGACAAAGCCTGAGACTCACCAGGACAAGCATTCCAAAAACAATCCAAATCTCCCAACCACCACCTTGTATTTTGTGTTTTCCCAATCTCCGCTGTTGCTTTTGCCACCTGAACGCCCCAAGAAGAACCGTGAGTACAGCGATTGTCTCCATTGCAATTCCCACAGACTTGCCATAATCGAATAATTCTGAGTCATGAGATGATATTCTTGAAATGTCCTTTAGACGGAAAAGTTGCGTTAACGACACGCCGAAAATTGCAAGAGCGGAAGCAGTGCGGAAGTAGGCGAGATAGGTACGTTCGAGTGCAAGATGATCCCTGCAAGCTTCAAGGGGGACGTCGATCTGTACACGATGCTGGAAACGATTGAATGCGCTGCTTGACGTTGTTCTTGCTTGATCGTATCGCTCAGAAGAATCCATGCCAGTCATCTCCTCAGGCGCCGGTATGCCATTGCTGAGATTCTGAAGTTCTATTTCCTCATTGGCCTGCTGATTGTTCATCTTGCTGATTCAGTATGTTTGGGTAAAGTGCTTAGAGAGAACTGGAATTCAGTCGTCGTTGAACTTAACTCCGCAATGCTTGAGATTGGGACGACGATTGCTACAACAACATGAAGGATGCGGCACTTTCGCTTGCTCTAGCCTATCAGCCTGCGGGGATCACGGCTGACTCATCAGCGAGCGTTTGAGCTCGGGTTTTGCGATTCGCAAAGTACCCTGCCCTTCTTTCGCGGAGCAAAGATATGTTTCCCATTATCCCATAATCGCGTCAGCATAATCCACAACAAAGTGCTGCTGCAAGTCTAAGTCGAGAAGATACATCCAAAATGAAAGCAACAAAAGTGAATAGCCCCAAGGCAATTCTAGATCCTGCTGCGTAAGGGCACGCCACCTATGCCTTGAGCGCTGTTCTCGAACAGTATGCGCCGGCGCATGGATACAGCACTATCGATATCATAACAAACATGGATCAACAGTCCAAGGACTGTCTTAAAAACGATAGACACGTCAGGTCGGTCGTGTAATCTGACACAAGTGCGGACGGCAGACAACCCAGGGTCAGATTCAGAAGTTGACATGTATCCTCAACTCTAGTGCGAGTTCTTGCATGTGATAGCTCATGTTTGCAGGAGAGACATTCAGTTCGGCATGGTCGTAGATCGGGCCATTTCGTGCCAATTATGGCCATGCATGTTCTTGAAACGGTCTAAAGGATACACATCCTACTCCTGGATCTCAATGCTGTAAAGACGAAGTCTCCTTGTCTTCATGGCTAGTTGGCATACAAGGCATCATCTGCACGACTTATGACATGTCTCAGAGCATCTATTTATAGCTCCAGCTACAAAAGACCTAAGATTGGCATCGTGCATACTTGTGCTTGCTAGGCTGTCGAAACAACCTGCGTCATGAATAAATAGCTCTCTATAGCAAGGGTTACATGTCATCGAATACTCTCTAGGACACAAGTAAGGTAGTAGTTCTTCGGGTGAAACGATTTGCTCAAGTCTCTGTATGATCAGTATAGAAATTTGGTTAGCAAGAATAAATCTTGCAAAACTGCCTTGTGTAATGATTCTTATAATCATCCAATCATGATAGTGTATATGCTTGCAAATGTCACGGTTTGACCTTTGGCAAGTATACTTCAGGCGTTCGGCGATGCTAGTATATATTAGAGCGCTAAGTTTACGTGTGCGCGGACGCCATATTAGGCAACAGAGGGAATAAATTGAACGTGGCTTCGATGCACGAAGCCTGCAACACAGGAATCTCGATGAGACTTGTAGATCTTTAATCCGAGCTTCTAATCGACATGTCGAAACTTCTGCCCCCATATTAGTAGTTACAGATCTTAGCATCTCTATGTGAAGCGATGTATGAGGTGGGGCTCATGTCGTGGAGTTGCTAACTTTTTAAGACTTGGACGGTCTGAAGTCGTCGGGCAAACGAGGAATGTGTAGGAAGGCTTTTGTCACCGCAAGAGACCCTTCGTCAGGCCATGCTCTGGAATTTGGACATGATAGTTAGTCGTGTCTGTAGCGAAATGGCTCATGCGATTCTTGATCAAGCTATCGACGTAGCAGATAGCGAGCATAGGAAAACGCAACATTTAGACAAAATCGTAAAGGTGCGCTCCAGAATCCCGCAGGTAGAGATCCGGGACATGAGCCGCTGGTATCTCTAAGCTGCTTATATTGGCTGTCGAATCTACGCCTGGCACGCCTGATGCAAAGCCGCTGCTTGACGATGAGATATCCTGAATCGTATGGGACTTTCGCTGCCACCACGCTCCGGGACGCTCGGTGACGCTCCAGGTTGTTGCACCGACACTCCGGGTCGGCGTTGAGACGTCAGAAAGCAATGCGGTCATCTTTGAAGGCGGTTTCAGCACGAAATCTGTTGAGATTGGTGGCGGAAGGGAAAGAAGAGGCCGAGGCTGATACTGCCAGGGTTGTGCGGTAAGTCTATTAGCGCTGCCATCCGAGCACAACTGCTGCTGCAATGTACTGCAAGGTGATAAGGTAGAAAAGTCCTCAGATCGAGGCTCAGTTCCATTGTGGATAACATTTTGCAATCTTTCTGGGCTTCGCATAGTTGATGCTAGGCTAGTAACATCCTGAGATGTGTCGGATGCGTCCTCGTTCTCGTCCATATCCATCATGATCTGTTCCTTTGTTCCAGGTTCAAGCAGACCAAGACGATCTAACAGGTCATGAACAAGTGGGTTGCCTCTGCGCTCTGGAAGTCTCGTGCCTGGCCATGAGTTTGTGGCCAGAAGCATGAAATACATCGTTTGTAGCCCAGCCACAAGCTTAAACTGTTGCGTTTCCAATGTTCGCACATAACTCGAAATCTTAGTGAAGAGCATAGACTGATAAACAGATGTTTCGACTTACTGCTCGGGAAAAATTTTACGTTTCGATTCCTTGGAATATCCAAAGATGCATGGAGCGTCTGAGGACTTGCATTTCGAGCACGGGTATCCTCCGGAGCACCTCGACTTCTTGGCTCGACAGCGATTGCAAGCTTTGCTAGCACGCTGATTCAAGATGTCGGCGATATGCTGAGTCTTGTATTGTCCTGTAGTTGACATCTTGTGTATGTAATCGGCAATCTTTAAGAGAAATTCTTTCCGTCTTGCAATACCAGCTATCGTCAAGTCTGGATCGTCGTGGAGCTCACTTTCGTTAGTAAACTCGAGCTGATGGGAACCCTTTGCGTGATAGATGAGGCGAATGTAAGGCGACTGGTATATGAAGTCGAGCTCTGTGAAGGTCCAACAAAGTGCCATGCTTTTGCAAGAGCATATGGGGGGCTTACAGCATTGCACGACGCGATCGATCATGCCGCCCAAAAGTGAGGCAACTAACACATCCAGAACCGACGGAATTCGCGGCTGATCTGCACAGCAAAGTAAGGCTGGAACGCGGCAAATGCGGATGTATGAGTTAGCGGAACGCACGGACGGTCTTCTGACAAGCCGTGCGATCCGTAAACCCCGTATCCTTCTTCCCGTAGCAAACAAAATGCGCCCTGCATCAGTCTACTCGCTTCACTCCCTTTACTCACTTGATACGTTACTCACTTGACCATTCAATAAATGGATCCCTCGGCTACATTTGCAGAATGTCAAGTTTCCAGTACAGATGCGCCTGGAAAAAGCTGCCACAAACCACAACACGCTGGAGAAGAGCTGAAACAACACATACATGCAAAGAACCAGAGAGGATGGAGAAGAGTCGCGCTCAACTTCACGCCGTCATGGTTTTCGGTCAATATGGGCACAGGCATTGTTTCTATCCTGCTCCACAATCTGCCGTACAATGGTCGCTGGCTTTATTGGATCTCAGTTGTCGTCTTCTGTCTGAACATTCTTCTCTTCATCATCTTCATGACCATTAGTATGGTGCGATACATATACTTCACTGGGCTCTTTAAGGCTATGCTTCGGCACCCTGTTCAATCCTTGTTTCTGGGTTAGTCTCGACGTGCTCTGCCGCCCTGGATCGAATACTAATAGTCACCAGGCACGGTACCTATGGGCCTTGCAACCATCATTAACATGATTGTTTTTGTTTGCGTTCCACTTTGGGGTCACTGGGTCACCATTCTAGCATGGTCGTTATGGTGGTTTGACGCTGTTCTTTCAGTCGCCATTTGCATGAGCCTCCCGTTCCTCATCATGTACAAGCACGGTGGTGAGCTCAAGACGATGACGGCTGCGTGGCTACTACCAGTCGTTTCTCCCATCGTTGCAGCCGCCACCGGAGGAATTGTAGCAGAGGTGTTGACTAACAATCAACACGCCCTCTGGACCATGGTGATATCTTATATCATCTGGGGCATGGGGTTCTTGCTTGCGATGATGGTTCTCGTCATCTATCTACACCGACTGACTATGCACAATCTCCCGCCACGAGAGGTCATCGTGTCGGTTTTCTTACCTCTTGGACCTGTTGGGCAAGGAAGTTTCGCACTCATGCAGCTTGGCAAGGTTGCGGCCAAGATTCTGCCCAAGACTGGATCATTGGTACCTGAATCTGGACCAATCTTCTATACGCTCGGCTTCGCAATTGCCCTTGTGCTTTGGGGGTTCGGCTTACTATGGCTGTTCTTTGCGCTCGCGAGTATCTCCAGAGCTCGTTTTCCGTTCAACATGGGCTGGTGGGGCTTCACCTTCCCTTTAGGAGTCTATACGGTCGCGACGGCGACGCTGGCGAAGGAGCTGCCTAGCCTGGCGTTTCGAGTGCTGGCAACCATCTTCTCTATCTGCGTCACTCTGTTGTGGATTGTTGTGAGTGTCAATACGATTAGGGGAGCGTCCACTGGGAAGTTGTTGTTCGCGCCGTGCGCTGCCAAGTTTGAGGTGGAGTATACACAACGAAGGATTGAAAGAGCTCAAAAGTCACTAGAGATGGAACCACCTAAGGAGAAAGCGTAATATATAGATAATTGGTTAGTGAAACATAGCACTCTAATGCTTTCCTGTAATTCATAAAACAGCGTTGATGCCGAAAGAAGTTGTTATCCTATTCTCCAACAGGCTGCATAGTCACAACGCAACGGGTAGGCTCCTGACAAATGTGCCGCACTGTTGACGGGTAATGAAGATACCTGATACCCAGGACAAGAGGACCGCTATTCTGCTAGAGGCCCTCATGTTTAATGCTGCCACATCGCAACGAGTAAACTGGACAAATCAGAATTCAGAAGCCCTGAGGTTGCTCGTGATCTGAAATGCATGTGCCGTGTTGTCTCTATGGTGGTGGTCGATCCTGCCGGTTTGAGAGGCCGCGGCTGTTCAGAAATGCATCGGCGGCAGTCGCAGATCGCAGCTCGGTCCAATGATCCGAACGCCAAGTCAATTCCGCAAGTGCTGTACTGACCGGCCAATCTCTCGGACCAGGGTGCACCATTAACTCTGCATGCTATCAGTGGGAAGTGCCTACTTCTTAGACGCCAAACGAGGCTGTCACTTCAACGCAGAAGACGGAACTTTTGTTTGCACTCCACAAGAGCGTCGATCAATGACTGTCGCGTCACGATGAGGACGGACTCACAACCGCCTATTGGCCAGGGAGGCACAGCAGCATTACGGCTTGGTGTTGTTGGATGTGATCTACAAGGCGGCTTGGAGAAAGCTGACATGCGGTGTGGCCACTACTTTCGCGTTAGTCAAATACGAATTTACCAGTTTCCCAGGCCCCTTGCCGTGTGCCAGATGAGCAGCGCACGGCATCTGTGCAGAAAGCGCGATATCTTTTTGCAATAGATTGTTTAATTGATCAGAAACTTGAAATTGTCGCGCTAGCGATATGTCTCAAGACACCATCTCTTACTGGTGTTGGAAAACATTTCCAGAGCCTATAGAATGCACCAAAGACACAGTTGCGACCTTTGCTAACGGAAGTCTCTCAATACTTTTTGTCCCCAATACCCCAGGTACGCAAGATGTGTTCGTGCAAATTACGAAATACCTGAGCTTAGATCCCTTAGCTGGTATCACGCTTCTTCCAGCTTAGACAAATGACATACTCGGCATGTTGTTCTTCAGCAACGGAAAGGTGGCTCGATTCTTGCTGACCATGATGCTCGAAACTTTTTATCTTGACATTGCTCAAGCGAATAGGGTCCTTGTGGATGCGGTCGATGTGTGCCAAGATTCTGATGAACCGACCAGAAAAAAGAAAGAGATCCTGGCCCACATACATCAAGGCTTACAATGTAGTCTGGAGCAGACCACAGGCCGTTATTACCAGTCTGATGAGATTTCGGTCTATCGTAGTAGATGATCAAACGCAAGCTGGCGTATCGTCTACAAAACAGACTCCTTGCAGTGCATATTAGGAATTGAATATCGTCGCTACCAAATCATGACGCTCGACCCAACATTCATTGGAGGCATGGTGTTACTTTTGTCAAGACATATTTCGCTGAAGTGCCATATGTATCTGCCGCAACCTGAACATGAAACCGCTCGCAACAACATAGGAAAAGCCGATGAGCAGCTGTGGATACAGGTAAGGTCTCGGCGACATTGGACGTCTGATCTCGAGTGCAATGACTTCAGAGACTGGTGATAGCAGGTCAGTAGACAAGACCAGCTTATTCATCCCCGATTATGCTGGCTTGGATTTACATGCGTTTGGCAGGCTAGCTGTTATCCACGAGAGAGAAAGAAGGGATTGTAGATGCTCAAGTTCCACGAGTTCTGCACACAGTGGACCTATAGTCCCTTGAGAAAGTAGAAGCTGCCAAACGTGACTTGCAAAGCCTGCTGTGACATAGCCAGTCGTCCGTAGCACGAGGCCAACGCACAATGACAAGTGTATACCGAAACGACGTGCAAAGACGGTCATGCAAAGGGAGTCGCGAGCATAGCAAAGGCGAAGTTACAGCCACCGACAAAGGCGAGATCGAACGCGGAGGCAGAGGCGAAGCGGTCATCATCTAGATAGCAGGTGAGGTATATGCCATAAGACTGGATATACAATCAGCAGGACAGAATTAAGAGGAGGGCAGACCTCGATGGCAACAGCCGCCAAGATCTTGGCGGCCAATGCATCAAGGTCGCCCTTGGTAGTCGCCTCTGGGTGCAAGCCTCCACATATTCAAGGATGAATCTGAAGATCTCGTTGACCTTTCCCTGGGGGTACGCTCTAGTCTTGCCTGTTTGGCCTTGACGCGGGCGCATTCCATAAATGCGCTGATTTCGTTCTTGATGTTGCGAACGTGGGCGCCTGGATTTGGGTCTCTTTGCCCAACATCCGGCCATCTCGACCCGGCGGTTCCTGAGTCCCCATCGTATCAATAGAGCTCACGTCCGCGAGTAATCTGGCCTTGGTTTGGTGTTTCTTGGGATCGTTCTGAGAGTGTTTTTCCGAGAATCAGATTCCGCACGATTGTGATGTTTTTTCCCTCTCTACACATTATCTCATCCTATAGAGCTGCTCAGAGATCGGGTATAGGAAAGACTCTTTGATTGCATGGTCGAGGTCTCGGTCTTCTTCGAGAAGAATGGGCCTAGGGTATGCTATCAGTGCCAGCATTTGGACGCATGAGAGATATTGCCCTTTGTCTACGCCCGCCTCATCATATAGCTCAGACGAGTATTTACGCATTGAACTTGTCATCCAATCGGGCTTAATGACAATACGTAGACTTCACACATCTGTGTAGCTCGCGTGTTGCGCTGACAGCCTCGCGGTATCCTTGCGCCCAACCTCCCCGATTCTGCCAGACAGCCAGGAAATCTTTGTTCAACATGTCTAAAGACACCCCGAGTCGCAACACAGATTTCGCAACATCATATATCGACGATGTTTATGAAATCGGAAACCTTTTTCTTCACCAGGGAAACGCAGGAGAACGCAGGCGAACGCCTCACTTTGCTATGACCTCGAACAGTTCCGCCACAAACTAAGCCAAGCCACCCATGGGACAGAGACTGCTCGAGTCAAAAAAGTCTATCAGTTGACCGAACTCGATAAGGTCTGCGAACGGCTTTAGATTGCTGTTGCAAGCGAGAGTCGCGCTGTCGCTCGATCTGAAACGCCCTTACAGATGAAGCTAGAGTCCTCGTAAACGAAGCGAAGGCTCTAGCTCCAGTCTGATGTACAATCCATACCTTCACTGCCTCGGATTCTGGCCTTACCGGTGTTGATTTGAGCTATATCAGGTGGTGAGGCGACTTCGTATCCTAGGGAGCGTGTGTATCCGAAGGAACACGGAGAAACGGATCAAAGAGAATGCCATGGTGAGAACACAAAGTCGAGTTAACTAGACCATGCCGCGTAAGCAAAGATGAGAAACTCAGAGTGCAAGCAACTACTTTGAATACGCCGCGCCGATCAAACAAGCGCAAGCATAGAGATCATACGAACGAAAAATGACAAAGTCTTGGCCGACAACAAATGCTCGTTGTCCAAAGCAATCATCATGACCCATGGAAAGTTCGAGCTGAGAGAATTCACTGCTTTCAAGATAAGCAGTCGGTCGGCCGGCGAGGTACTCGAGTACGGGCTGACTGAGTTAGCGACAGTTCACATCCTCTGCGCGCGCACCTACCTCCTCAGATCCATCATCTAGCGCGCGGCCGGCCTCGTCTGGCGCCAGCAGGAGGATTGCACTCGCCATGCTCGTTGAGGGTTTTGTCACCAACGGAGCCAATGTCTACATCATTGGTAGAAGGAAAGATGACTCGATCTGATTTCTGCAGGATCTTGAACGACGATCTGCATCTAATTATTCAGCCAAGAACATGGGTCACATCGAAAAATGACAACTCTGCAGCAAGAACAAGTGGAAAGTTAGGCACGGGCCGTGAGTCCGAAAAGTGAAAAGAATCATTCTAAATTTAGTCAAGCAAGCGGTGAAAACTAAGCCTTGTCTATGCCTGCAGAGCACTTCCGCATCCTCTACTGCATGTTCCCCTCCCCGGCTTCATTGTGCTGCAGCATCTTCTGTACATGCTGTACGCGCTCTATGACCCTTGCAACTTGACCAAGTGGCATGGATTGCATGGTTGCATAGACCGTGAGGAACAGTCCTTGATAGTGGCGGATCGCTGGAATGTCTGCGACCATCCGAGGATGACCTATCGCGACATAGGACGTAGGAGCAGTAATTATATCGCAGGGATAAAAAACCGTAAAGGTTCAGGTCCTCCGACATATAGTCTTGTTCGTTGTCGCTCAGATAGTCCATCAGTCGCATTGCAGGCTACAGCTATGCATCGCAGGAATGCAGTGTCATGATGTAGTCCTCCTTCCAGTACATCCCTTTCATCTGACACGAAAAACTTGTCATCACCTGATTGGCTCTAATACGCAGGATGTTTAATTCAGGATTCACATCGTGCTGTCAACAGTCACTGCCTAGTGTTCTAAAGAGCGTTCTGGTAGACTCAAGTTCAGTGCAAACACATCCTCGACTTATCTCTTATCTATCGGGCTGCAGTCGCGCGTATGAGATGCATCGCATGACCCCATTAGTTATACCATGCTTGCGCCATCGATATATCATGCCCAAGCCAATCATAGCCGAGCTTGTGTGGATATTGACGCAACAGTCACCCTCAGCATGGCACCAGAAACGACGGACGATGGCTAAAGACTCCAGTCCAGATCCATAAGATCTCGGTAAAACTGCAGCTTATCAGGCTGAGGCACATGAGAGGAGTCACCAGGAGCTGAGCTATATGTCCCTGTCAAGCACCCGCTCTTTGTGCACCGTTCATTTTCACCACGGCCTTATCATATTTCTTGTGGCAATCAACGCTGTCGTTATCTCCATACCCTCAAACAATACTTGCAAATCGGCCATGGAAGTTCAGAACACTCAACATCAATCCAATCACTCAAGATTTTCACGCAAGATGTCCCAGTGCATTCGATGCCAAAGGTTCTTCAATAGCGATGCAAGCTTACGGCAACATATCACGGACTCTTCGAGCCATAACCTATGCACTTGCTGCTCTCCACCAAAAGACTTTGAACAACCTCGATCTTTGAGGCAGCATTCAGTAGCGACTACTCAGCTCAATGGGAATCGACAGCATGGTATTACGAATATCAACAGAGGTGTTGGATTGGGCGGTGTGCCCAGAAGTCTGGTTGAGCTCGTTTTCCGAGCTGCGTGTTCTCTGAGACGTCAAAATCCACAACCCCATACCATCGCCACCTTGACCAAGACCTCACTGGATCTGAACATAGTGTCGGCCATACTCACTGCAGCTCTCCGGCTCCTGCCACCTGATAACAGCTCAGCCGGAAGACAGCTACACCTTGAAAAGGAAAGATTGTCAGCTGAGTGTACTAAAGATGCAGAGGCCGAGTTCATAGCACGTATCGCTAAACTCGGGGTCGAGTTTCTCACTGAAGCCGAACAAAGGTCGCTGGCAGGCACTGCTCTACCATATGGACAAAAACGCGGACCCACCCCAGATTTGCTGTTGAAAACTCCTCTACTAATTGATGGCCACCCCTGTGCCTGGATAGAGTTCAAGAATGATTTCGGGTTCAAATCAAGCCCGTTTGTGACATCAGGTACGAAAAGACAGGTCAAGCGATACTTAGACAAAATTGGCCCTGGTATCGTGGTATATAGATTAGGGTTCGAGAGTGGGCTTTTCGCGATGCCTGGCGTCGTGTGTATGCGTGAGACCGAGGCGTTGGAAATTATAGGGCGATGATTGTCACGTCCTTCTGCGTATCCCAATTCCTTCACGAGTGAATTGATGATGCGACGAGATCGAATCGATGCGGAAAGCCTCGGCGGCACCCTGCCACGGCATTTTCTGTTGTTTTCCTACTCGTTTCTCTTTTCTTAAGCAGTCTGTGGTCTTGACGCCGTTCATGGCTTGGAATTTTTGTTGCTCGCGCTTGTCGAAGTACGGATACAACTTAATCACTTGCATGTTCTTGGTCGCTGCATATTGAGATCAGGTTTAAATGGCAAACCGGAAACTGCTACTTGTCATGACCTTACGATATGGATAACCCTTGAATCCTTCAACGCTTCCTCTTGATTCGTTAGCGATTTTGCTTACTGACTCCGTCGAGGACTTATCTAATGCTAATTCGTCCAAGACTCCAAGAACGGATTAGTAAACAGGTCCGTCTCGATTCGCCCTTGACGATATATGGTCGAGGAACACATAACTATCTGCTCGGCTATTGACTGCCCGGTTGTCGACATGTTATGCTCTTGAACTTCCTTATCTGTTGACTGAAGCCAGCGGTTCCTGTACCATCCATGCCTCCACTCCCTATGCCTCTCGCACATTCCCAACATATGTACGATTCACAGCACACTACGGTCCTAAGCATACTCAGATATGTCTAAAGGCTCTAAGGGTCACACGCTGATTATTCTTGCAAAATGTGATACCTCCTTCTGCAAACAGAGCGTTCTCGGGAAGGTTCTCTGGGATACTGTCACCTCTCATCCCGAGATCAATCCAATCAAGACGAGGGCGTGCGTTCTCTGTATTGTCAACGTCTCTGACCACGCAAGCGAACTTCAAGACTAGATCGCGACAAACTTATATTCCCGCCTGTAGCGCGATCGATGCATATTCCAGATGCAGATGAGTAAAAGGTGTATGCACTTGTACCATACAGCCAGAGAAGAGATATGTAGTCAGATTTTGGCCCGGGCAAATCTTGACAATCCATGACTTGCTTTTCGCGTGTTGCATAATCAAGTGATTTTCAGAGGTGTAATCTAAAGCAAGAATGGTCGAAGTGCTTGAACTCGGTCCGTGAGGGGAGACAGCGGCCCTCTCCAATTAATCGTTCCGGATCAGCTTTACGGCAGAGTAAATGGTTGGAACACGAACCGATCCTTTCATGGCAGGTACACCATCGATCTTTAATGCCTGATTCTGAGCATTGACTGAGGATTGAAGAGACGGCGTAAAAGTCTCTGCCTCGAGGAGAACACTCTCTGCGATAGCGAAAGCATGTTGCTATCCATGTAGAAGCCGTTCCTTTATCTCTTCTTCTAGGATTTGTTGAAACGGTGCAAGGTAGACATGATCTTTGTGCTTGAAATCTTGAATTTCCCAGGTTTTGGTAATCTCCACCGCGGATGAAAAGTGCCGTGTGTTGAAGGCGTGTAGAACTGAGCATGAGCTTTTATGAAGATGTCACAAAGAAAGCATGCATGCTTCTCAGAGCAGATGACACGTAGTCTGATCATTCCTGGATTTGACTGCAGGCTTTCGTCGAGACAAGGAAGTTGAATCTCCGCATGGACTTTACCTTCTTGTCGCGCCCCGGACGATATCTTCTGGTGCGTTTCCAGTGTATAGAGAAAAGGAGACCCTTGTTGGTCTACATCTTGCTTGTAATAGAATCAATCGGCGTACGACAAGAATGATAGAAAGCCAGAGATCCATGCGAAACGCTGTAGAATTTTTTGTCGCTAGCGAGGCGGAGAACAGGCTACAATGCAGTGCATGGCGCGGAACGGAAATGGCGTGACAATCGTCACACTGTGTTTTGCAATTGCTCTGCAGCCGGAGACACGTTTTAGAGCGCAAGGCGCGATTGGCTGTCCGCCAAAGGTATCGTATGCGTATAAGACGGCAGGTCTATAGAGTGCGCGACGCCCTCTCAGCCACTCTCTTGGTTCTTGGAACGCGGTATATACGTTCGACAGCTTGCTCAGCCACCGACTTCTGCCCTTCACTACTCTTGGTTTGCTGTGCAGCGGGGCTTCACGGGCCAACACACTCTCATTAGTCACGTGTGGCTGCGACATAGCAAAATGCCAAGCTCATGATCATCTTGAAGTCAGTGAACGCGCCAAGACCTGCTACAAAATTCGCCAGTTTCGAATCAAGGCTTGACTTCTATGCAGGGCGTTTGGAAGCACCACTCTGACGGTACCCGTGGTCTATCATGGAATGGACTGCGGAGTTGTTTGTCAAATTTTGCAAGCAGAGAGGCAAGAAATCGAATGACCGAGATGGTAAATGCAGACAATACAGACCACTTTTGATTAGACGATACGATATTTTCATTTCCAGATTTCTCCCAAGATATAACACCTAAGACAGTCCAATCACATCAGTCGTCTTCTCTCCTGCAGCATTCTTTTACCCACGTTGCCCCTGTCTCTCGATTGGCTTGCCCAAACACAAGTCCGACTCACGATGGAATCACATTTTTCTTTGTACCGGTCAAAGACCTCTTCATAGCCCTCGTTACACGAGAGCATCCGCCGTTCAAGCTATAATAGGCTCAGTAAATCTGTGAACGCGGTCAGTGACATTCCTGGCTCAAGTGCATAGAGCCAAGATATCAGTCTTGAAAGCGCGTTATGTCTATGAAGTGGAAGTGTTGTGGCCTGTGTCGTGAGATCCGTTCTAGACTTTTCCTCTGCACAATGGCGAAGCAGAGGAGCTGTAGGGGCAGTGCGTCGGTCTTAGAATACTTGCGTGTCGTTGTTGCTTACATCTGAGCCCAGAGTCATGAGGTATGCGACGAAGGAGTAATGCACGGCCGGACATATCGTCCATGCCTAAGCAATCCATTGCGTCACCCTGTCCGTGTGACTTGCTGGCTCACACGCCAAGTGAGTGGATATCAGCACATAGCCCATGCTGGTGAGGGACCTTGGTCCAATAGTGGATCGTGACAGATACTAATCAGAGTGCTTGAAACAAGCAAGCGGACACATCTAGCCAGTCCGGTAAACTGCAGAAGCTAAGGCTGTACACATTTTCTACTTCGCTTGACACCCCCCTTTCACGAGTCTAACCCCTTGGCCTGCGGTCTTATCAAGAGTGTTGGTCATAACAATAATTTTGATTATCTGGGAGGCTCATACTGTTTTCTGCAGCTATTCCAGGTGCAGAGAGAAAGACTGCGCGTCGCAGCGATTAACAGTCGGAACCAGCGCACCCTCTAACACTTACTTATGATCTCCGAATGTTATGTTTTTTTGTGAAATCATCATTGAATGTTCTTGAAAATGGCGCTCAACAGAGTAGCTGAAGAAGAAGCAGCCCCTCCTCCAAATTAATTACCTGCCGAATTGCTCCATAGTCAGCTCCTCTTCTCCTTCCATTCCTGCCTACCTATATACTTGATAGACAATAAGTGTATGCAGGTTGCTCTGTATGCTCTTTTGAGCAGAGCCGGACAGAGCAGATGGCTCTTTCTACAGAGTGCTCTGTTCCCCAAGCTATGGGAACCAACAGAATAGGCTGTACGACCTTGTCGTTGACAGGATCGTAGCTTGCAGCTCTTATAGATAGATATGAGAGGACATGGTCTGCTGCGACCATTACCGTCCTTTTACTGAATCTGAAGAGTGCTATTGGTCGGACTGATGTGTAAATAGCGACAGCTCATACCCCTTGCAGGATTGATAGCTTGAGAAACCGAAAACAGATCAAATGAATTATGAAAGCAAAGTATAGCTCATACAGTGAGACCAGCATGGCCTTTGCCCGTCACCCTGACCTCCATTTACGGATCCCATTGTCGCTTGTTTCCAAACCACCTTACCAAATAGACCAACCCTAAGAGCACTGGGACCTCGATCAGCGGTCCAACCGTCGACGCAAGCGCCTGGTCACTGTTGGCTCCATAGGTGGCCACGGCGACAGCAATTGCCAACTCGAAGTTGTTGCTTGCAGCCGTGAAGCTCTGGGTTGAGCCAAGTCGATAGCCAAACCCTAGCATGTGCGTAATCCAGAGCGTAAAACTGAACATGACAATGAAGTAGACGATCAGAGGTGCCACAACGCGAATCACCGAAATGATTTGGTGCACCACGCGGTGGCCTTGTGATGCAAAGAGTACGATGATGGTGTATACAAGGCCAATAAGTGACCATGGTGCAACCCATTTGAGGAAAACGCGGTCGTACCAATCATCTTTAGTGATGGCCCGTAGGACAAGACGAGTGAGGATGGCAGCGCCTAACGGTATGCCGAGGAAGGCCGCGACGCTGGTTGACACAAGCGAGTATGAGGGCCTTATACCGCTCGAAGAGTGACTGATGATGTTGATGAAGAGAATAGCAAGGGGAGCATAGAGAACAATCTGGAGGATTGAGTTGATGGCGACGAGAATAGCGCAGTATTCACTATCGCCTCCGGCAAGTCCAGTCCAGATAAGCACCTGTTGACCGTTAGCTAAAATTGGGTCTCAACGGCTGGGTGGTCACAAACCATGGCGATACATCTAGCAAGTCCAACAAGAATGAGGCCTTCACGGAGCTCGCTTTGGTCTGGCAGGAACGCCCAAGCAAGAGCAAGCTGTACAAATCATGAGTTTCCTGCTCACATCGGACGCAAAAGTTCCAACTTACCATAAGAAAGGGTGCAACGATCCAGTTCATCACAATGGAGAATCCAATCTGTACCCAGAGCTTTTTCTCCTTGAAAGCTAGATGAAGAGTCTCGTACTTGACTTTGCATAGAATGGGATACATCATGATGAGTAAACCAATTGCTATGAACGATGAAGAATCAGTTTCGATGTTTCTACCATCGCCCAAAAGATTATCGAGAAAGCTTACCAACTGGTATTGAGACATGCACAAATTGACCCTTTTCGAGAGCGGGGCCAGTTTCCGGCACGAAGTTCCCCAGCAGAATACCGATAGCCATGGCAAGGATGATCCACAGTGCAAGAAAGCGATCTAGTAAGCCTAGGTTTTTGAACGCAGAGATGTTTTGTTTGTCTACAGGTGCCTTGACATCCTGCGACTCAATGTCCATGGACTGATGACTTGTGGAACGCATGTCGGCGGGACACGACACTGGAACGGTATGACTCATTGTCGCTCAAGTAGTGTACCGAGACGAAGATGGTAGGAATGATATTGGATGGAATATTATGTCTTTTCTGGATGTATACTGCTGGACTGGAGATCAGAAGCGCGAGACATGATATCTTACCACGGCTCATTTGCCGCGAAAGATGTTGGTCGAGAAAGAAGAAATCCGACGAATGAAATTGGGAGGATGACAGTCCTCCACGGTCATTCTCGCAGGCATTGATTGGCCGCGCTCAGACGCCGCCAAGGAAGCTGCCTGGGCAGAGATCTCAGCGACGCTGCCTCTATGGTGACATACCAGTTATCATCGGTTCAGCCGCAAGGAAAACAGATTGCGAGATGGTAACTCGACGTCAATTGTGATTCGCTGATCAGAAGAATATAAGACAGTACTACCTAGCAGCAATACATCGAATCATTCGATTGATCGCCGTTTGTCTGCGACAGTTTTAATATACATGTAAAATACTTGTTCCTTCTCATACTTCCTCATTACGACCTTTGGGCAAAAGGCGCACTAGAAGTCACTGTTCGGACATTCTCGTGGACTAGAGCGACGAGCCATTCAACCAACAACCAGGTCGAGGCCCCATGGCACGCAGCGTATCCTGCGCCAAAGTCTAAGGCAGTGGGCATATCCCAGTTCGATCTTCTGGTCATGCTAGAAGAAGGCAAGGAGCCAGGAAAAGACTTTGTTCTCGTCGATCTGCGGAGGAATGATCATGCAGTGAGTTCCGCGTGAGAAGAACGCCCAACATCGTTGATATTAACATATTGTCTAGGGTGGTACAATTGCAGGTTCTATTAACCTGCCTGCACAGAGCTTGTATCCATCTATTCCATCTCTTTACAGATTGTTCAAGGCTGCTGGAATTCCTAAGGTCATTTGGTACTGCGGTGAGTAATCTAATTGCTATCTGCGAAGTGATCATAGTGTACCTGACCATCTCGTAGGCTCCTCTAAGGGAAGGGGCAACCGTGCCGCTTCATGGTTTGCGGACTATGTAGCTGAGCAGGAGGAAACCAACACTATCCAGAGCGTGGCTCTTGTAAAGGGTATCAAAGGTTGGGTTGAAGGAGGACCCTCCTTTGCTAGTCGGATAAGTGAATTCGAGGCTGGGGCCTGGCAGAAATGACTCTGTCAGAAGTTGTACCCGTGCAGAAAAGCATAAATACCGATCAAGCATACGGACAAATAGATTTGAGTCTTGCGCAGGATGTCAAGTTAGCATCAGAATTGTAAATCAATTCCGCCAACAAGTGCTCGCTCCCGCTTTGCTATATTGGACTTATTACGGCTTAACTTTGACTCGAAGTACGAGTAGTCTTCTGTGACACGTGGTGGCGGGCAGAGATGCCCGGATTTTTGGTGAATCAACTTCTCGATCTGGGGCGCAGTATCCGTGAGTGAAGCCCAGGGTCTCTCCCCAACCAGTCGAGCTCGGTCGTGGGCGGAAGCTGTAAGCAACGCAAGCCCACCACAATCGATCCCGCAGTCAGCCCTGACTAGAATGACATCTGAGTCAGCAACTCCGCTCTCACTGCGCCGATCCAGAGAAATCAGGGTCAAGACGAACTTCAACAACGACAACAGGCCTGCAGCCAGACACAGCAGAACATCAACCCAGATAGTAGGGATGGCGAACGCAGGTATTGAGCATGCAGGGCTACTACAAGGCTCATCAGGAAGCAGGACCATCGAAATGACAACAGTCCAGGTGTCGGGAGACTATCTCCTGATGGTTAAAGACGGAGCTACCGCAGAAAGACTTATTATGAACGGCCACAAGTGGGTGACGTGCCTCGGCGCCAGCGCAGAGGTGATCACTCCAATCAGGAGTCATGGTCATGAACACCCCAGTGACTAGGGTTGACCTTATAGCGCAGAACCAGATGAACCAAATGATAGTAGGCCAGAACGAACAGCTTCTAGCCAACCACCCGATCAACCGAGTGGACTGGTGCCACAAACCATTGCTAGGCGAGGCCACGGGGACAGTCGTGATCAGTCTCATGACAAAGGCAGGTGCAAATGCTGCGTTGGTAGCAGGATGCATCTCCTTCGAAGACCAGATCAAGAATACCATCAGGTACAGTAGGGAATGCAAAGTCCCACAGTGCTTCAAATGCTACGAATACGGACATACAACGCGCCAATGTCGAAACGAAGAAGTATGCAGACACTGTGCTGGGGATCATCCCATCAAGAAGTGCGCGAACCTAAGCGGGAACAAGACTCGCGCTCTATGCAATGGGAATCACCCGACGTGGGCCCAGAGCTGCGAGTACATAAAGAAAGAAAGGGCGAGAATCGAGATAGAAATCCAGAAAGTCAAGGACCAGCCCTACTACCCAGAGGACCCAGTCGTCAGCCCAGGACCATCGGAAAGAGGATCCGTAGTGTCATTCCGCTTGCCGGCTGAAGAAGACGCGACGGACGGGAGACCTAACTCGGATCCAACCCCAGCGGAGGCAGCAAGCGTCATGAGCTCAGGCACTAGATCAAGCACGGGACAATCGACTGGACAAGGGGGCCAGACTAGGAGCAAGGAACTTTCAGCACTACTACGCCCGTAGAGAATCCGCAAGAGTTCTGCACCGAAACCTGCCCTCACACCTATGCAGGCAAGAAAGGCACTCGCAGGAATCGCTATGAGACAGGTCCAGGAGCAACAATGCGAATCAGGATCGGACGCTATCGAGATGATCGATAACAGCCAGGCTGAGGAAACCTCACCACCCTCGGCACAACCAGATGGGTACCGAATAGTGGAGAGACGCCAATCCCAGAGGGGTAACAGAAAGACACGATACAATCAGGTGTCTAATGAATAGAGACACCATACAGCTCAAGATGATACAGTACAACGTAGGCAGACGATACGACTCAATGGCACAACCTTTGAGGCACCCGGAGATAGCGTCGGTTGACATTATCGCAATCCAGGAGCCATGGATCCGGAAGGACATGGACATAAGAGCCATACACAATCCTACAGGAGGTCTCTTCCACGTGGCACTGGCCCCGAGCGAGAAACGACCTCGAGTGTGCTTATATATCCACCGGGGGATTGACACGCGAAGACTCAGGATTTACTCGTACGACAGCAGAGACACGATATCAGTATTGATAGATGGTGTGGTCCCAAATGCCATACACACCATATACAATCCTCACACGGAAGGGAGAACGCCGAACCAGGAGTACTAAGGCCTTCCAGGGAACAGCATCCTCCCAACCCTAGACCGTGCACTGCAAGCGACGAATACATACGATCAGGTAGTCCTTGGAGACTTCAACATACATCACGAGATGTGGGCAGGCCCGGTGACTGACCCAAGCCCGGCAAACCATCCAACTGGATTTATCAACACCCTGACTCAAGGCGGCCTTGGACAGTGCCTCCCGGTAGGCACAGTCACACGACCGGCAGACAGCGCAGGATCTTTTGGAACAACGATAGACCTAGTATGGGCTACCGGGGACATCCAGCGGAGGCTGTGTGAATGTAAGACTAGATCGGATCTGGAAGCGGAATCAGATCACGTCCCGATAGAAACGACCATTAGGATGGAAACCCCGCAAACACCACAAGAGAGAAGAAGGAAGTACAAAGATATGGTCATAGCCAAATTCAGGAAACACATGCAGGAGAATCCTCTGGGCGAGACCGTCCTCAACTCAATAGCATAAATCGATTACAGAACGACTGAGATTGCAGAAACCATGCCCAAGGCCATAGAGTATTCTACTCCAGAGATCAGGACGCATGGGACATACATAAGAACAGGTTTCTGCGCCCAAGTTCAAGAAAAGATTCTGGCGGCGCGAAGGGCAAGAAGGCAGTGGCAAAGGTATATGGACTAATACAGCCACACACTATACAAGAAAGCCATGAGAGACAAACGCAGCGCCAAGACTCTTATTTCCGAGCGTACTGGGGCAAGGCGTGACTTCAGCAATCGATGTACTGAGCGCTCAAGATCATTATGAAGACTTTCTGCGGGTACAAGTATTCTTGCAGACTGTCGTACTATTCTTCAAAGAACAATCGAAGAAATCTCCTCGAGCGAAACTTCACGGATCATAGCCACAATATTGGCAGACATTCAATTCTGTGCGAATTCGGATCCTGAGATGAGACGAATCATGGAATCTCCCAGGGCCAGTGACGCCAGATCTTCCTGAGGATGCCTGTATATATGACCGACGCACTCAGAGCCACATCGCTGAAAACCCTGCGGACTCACAGCGTCAGTACAGCTTCAACAAGGGATATGTCATAGAAGCAGCCAGTGATCTTTCCAGGTGGCAGCGCTACGCGTCTAAGGCATTCATTGGAGATTTCTGAGCAGACATACCCTTTGACAACTGATGCCATGAGAGTGCCGCTGGCAGACAGCGATGACATCGTATTGAATGATCTTGACGCGAGTTCCACCAGTTCTGCACAGTGTCAAGAATCGAGGTGGGAGAGCACAACTGTACACAACGACGACCAGCGTTGCCATGCGACTTTAGAAAATGAGGCTCGCGTCCTCGGACATGAGGACTTGCCTCAATTTCTACAGAATCGAAGGCACCAACGTACAAGACACGCGTATGACTTTCTAGCTCCGCAGATTCTCATGCAGCGTTCTGTAGACCGTGGATCCGAAAGTATTAGAAGTGAATGGAAGAAGGTCAGCGACTCAAATTGCATGGGGAAAGTGTCAAAAGCGAAAACAGCGCTCGAAAAACAGCTTCAACATAGATCATCAGTCCATCGTCACCCGGACGACACCAAAGACTCTGGCTTCACATCTGCACTATCCTCATTAGAGCTCTTCTCATGGAGACAATCACGGTCAGCGCTTCGGCAATCCGCCTCTACAATCGCCCAGCAGAGGCCTGCAGTGTCTAAGTGAGAACTATCGAGATCGCAGAAGATGGTGTAGAAAGGTCTGACATCCCTGTCATCGAAGCACAAGTCAGTTTTGCCCAATCTGTGATGCTTCTCCAAGCTTTACCATGTCCCTCACTGTCTCTTGCGCAGAATGACGAAACCTCCAATTTGGTCAGCGGCTACAACACCACCGACCTGTATGGACGCCAGAAAGCCGTCGAAGAACTTCCAAAGTTTCGTTGAGCGATTTTGTTGCCAAGGGGTGTTCATCGAGATCCGTATGTGCAGAAAGAGAGCGTAGAAGATCGGACATGTTCCTCCAGTGAATAAGACGTTACCCTTGTCGAGATTGATAGTCCTTGACGTCTTAGCCAACCGCAGTCTTGGTCGAAGCAAACCTGATCTCCAAGCCAATTTTACGTCGCTGCTTAACAGACAGGCGACGAAACATGTGTGTGCAGCCTGCTATCACACGCGATGATCCTGACCTGAACACACCAGTCAAGAATGCTGGGCTGGTTAGCCAATCTCTGATCCGATGGCTGTGTTGAGCTTTGGCAGCTTGAAATCTCCAGAGTCATCTCCACATCCACTGGGAAACTTCATTCGCGCACGGATAGACAAAACAATCGCGTTACATCTAGCGAGGGAACACACTACTGGAATCTCCCATGAGTATCACATTTACTGTGGAGCTTCTTCCAGGCTCACCTGCTTCTGAATCGTGGACTCTCTGCCTGGTCTTCAAATTATCAGCGCTATGTAATGCGGAAAGTTATAAATCTTTGACTGTTTCTCCTGCAGTGATGTTGTCCTTGTTGTTTAAGCAGATGCAGCAAGCGTTTGCAGTACCTCTGCAAGCTGTGCTGGCTAGCCACGACGGAAAACCCAGCCTGTGCTTGTGCCTTTACCATTCAAACAACCTTCGAACCGTGTAGTCTCGTCTCTTTCCGACCAGCGCAGGCGTATGAAGTCGACATCTTTGTAGCGGTTTGTTTAGTGCACCAAGATTTGCTTCTTGACCCGAGTGCAGCATTATGCTAGAGTTCGTACAAATGTCAAATCATCTGGAAGCATCTTACTGCACATTATCTGTAATTGAGGCGAGCATTGAATGGATGTGATGTCACGGCGAATTGGGGGCAAGATCACAGAAGTCCTACCATTCACCTTGAGTACTGAGGTAGGAGCTGTCGTAATCATTCAAAAGACACATTCAGTAGTTGCTTACACGTTCGTTAGACAAATCGCTGGTTGATATAGCATCGTAGACCGCTTCGATTTCTTCCGCTCTTTTTGTTTCCAAGCGTGAGCCGCAATGGCTGACGAATTCGAGGTCAAGAGAGAGCAGAGGAGGTCGATCATCACCCTGGTAAGATATGGTCCGGGCGGTCCTCCTCCAACAGTTGTACAGTATGCGGACTCAGAGAGGCACGTATACCCAATAGAGTTCAACACAGCATCCTGGACCGGAATCGAGTGGACGGTGCATCTCGGTGAAACGCTCTCCCTACCAGAGCTGCAGATGCTGACACAAAGTCGGCTGGTCCAGTGCGCTCACTCATTCAGCGACGCGGTGGTCTTCTTGGCAGAAGATTTGCTTTCAGCAAGTTTAATCTATCTCGAGTGGCTGGCTTGCTGTCTCCCTTCCGAGAGCGTTCGACATTTGAGACCGGCAGCGCTGATCATCATTGGGGGATCCGCATCTGACATTGAATATTTCCTGCGTCATTGCGCTACTCAACAGGACGCTGGTGTTCGTACATCCAACGAACAGAGAACGGATCTCTTCGACAACATAAAAATCGAGCAAGTCAAGAACTTTGCAAGGAGTATCAACCTCTTGCCACCCAGAATTACACAGCACGTAGCATGGGGACACATCCGCGATAGTCACAAGGTCTCGAGGCGTCTGAGATCAAATCACGGTTGGCTGTGGACTTTGTCTGACTTTCAGCAGTTGGCATCAGCTTGGAAAGCAACGGGGTCAATGCCCAATATTGTTCTTCAGTTGACGGACCCATGGCCTCCGGGAAAATTTTCACTATCTAGTGTACTATCGAGCGTTGATAGTAATGTACGTAGCAACGATCAACGCTTCGACACGGTCCTGAACGCAAGGGCTAGTCTAGTTAGTAGCTATCTGATGCGGCACTCCTTCCAATCACGGCACTGGACTGTGCCCGGCAAGTCCTCCCAAACCAACATGTTTGCAGAAGACCAGTTCAGGCTACGGTATCTGCCTCTTGCTACAAGCATAGTACGCAGTTCTTTCGAACAATCCGAGAAGTTCACTTCTGCGGCGATATCCGAGCGGTACGTTCCAGATGACCTCGTGAACATGATCAAGGACTGCTGGTTGGAGAACACCCGAAGAGCATATCGGAGTTGCGTCAGCATCTTCGATTCGGCAAAACTCCACATCGAACAGCTTCGCCAACACCGCGGGTATCTTGCTGGGTTACAGTATGGAACCAGATGTGCAGCTTGTCTCCTGGAGCAGTGGGCTCACATGCTTCCGTGTAGACACGGTCTGTGTACTCTATGCTTGAGAGCCTGCCACGGTAAGGAAGCAAGCGGATGTCGTATGGATGTGTATGAGTGCCCTGTCTGTGAGCACACTCTTGCATTCCCGTGTCTGCGAACATATGTGCCATCAACGGCGACAGTGCGGGGCGGGTCTTGGCGCTCGATGGTGGTGGTGTCAAAGGGCTTGTACAACTCCAGATCCTCGAACATCTGCTTGATAAGATCGGACTACGCGAGACGGTTCACATATCTTCTTTCTTCGACCTCCTGGTTGGAAGTAGTATAGGTAATGAGATTTTGTATTACACTGCCCGTCTCCAGAGACCTTTGCCTGATCGCGTTTAGGTGGTATCTGCGCATTGGGCATTGGGACCAAAAAGTGGTCTTTGAAAGATTGCAGAGTAAAGTTTCTCAAGTTCGCAGAGCAACTTTTCGTCCGAAAGAGCCGCTGGGCAAGACTACTGTCGTATTTCACAGGTGGCTGGTCCGATGTACTAAACATTGCCGTCAAGCTTATCTTTTTCGATAGCATATACGACTCAGCTCCAATTGAAAGAATTCTCGTGGAGAGCTTTGGCGATGCCTCACTCATGATCCAGGATGACCTCGAACACCCAACCAGAGTGGCTGTCGTTGTGAATCAAGCATCGACCTCCGAAACAACGATATTTACCAATTACAACAAGTCGCGTCATCGCAGGACAGGCGCGTACAGGTGGCCTTCAATGGACAGTTCGTATCAGTTACCTAGGATATGGGAGGTGTAAGTTTTTACTAGGAACAATCGTTATGGTACTTGTACTCATTAGTATACTTAGGGCTCGCGCAACATCTGCTGCACCAGGGCACGTATCACGATATTTTTGTTTATGACTATCATTATTGACATCGCTTTGACAGATTTTGGAAGTCAATGATACTACTCGGTGAAGTGTATCAAAATGGTGGACTAAGCCATAACAACCCGTCTGCCATTGCAGCGAGCGAAGCTAATATGCTTGCACCATCGCAATATAACGATCCTTCAGTCGTATCAGTGGGATGTGGACGCTTCTCCACGGCACCGCTGACTCGAATGTCAGTATTCAGAAGATATATCAAGGTACTCGAGGAATCCCTGAGCGCAACCAGACAGCATGAAGTCACAAAAATGCAGAGACATGGAAGGCTAGAGAACTTGCTGCGGCTGAACCCAAGGCTGGATATGGACGAAGTGCTGCTAAATGAGCAGTCCTCGATGTCTTGACTGAACAACTCCGTCCAGGCAATCCTGGAATCGAAATCAGGTTCGGCTAGACTATTTACGGCGGAGTGTGAGACAGTAATGAAGCAGCTGATTGCTTCCCTGTTCTACTTCGAGCTTGGCTACAAACTGAGGAAGGGACAGAAACGGGACAAAGTTCTGCAGCTAGGAACTATCAAAACCCGTCTGACCGAACAAGAGTTCGAAGTCTTTCGGAAAACGTATCCCGAGGTGCGCTTCAGAGTCAAGGACCTGGTAGTTGAGCTATCAGCCGCGATGGAGATTGAGATTCTACAGCCAGTAAGCACCGAGTTGTTTAAGATCGAGCTCATCCACCCTTCTTGGATACAACAAATCAGTGGATCACCATTCACGATTGCCCAGCTGCGAGAGGCGCAGAGCGATTATCTGCCAGTCGGGCTCGGCGAAGGACGCAAACGTAAGAGGGGCTGAGAACCATTCGTAGAGTTATTATCGATGACTGTATTCATCATCAGCATCCCACCTGACGACCTTACGTGATGTATTCAAACCGATACCCCAGATGGTCATCCTGGATCATTCCGCACGAAAGGATCGTTGCCCATGCCATATCCCTTGCAAGTCCCTGTTAGTCTTCGAGTCAGCTTCTCTTAGATGGTCTTTTCTCCACTTGGAGCACCTTCAGACTCCGCTCTAAATAGTCGCAATTATATGCCCAAGTATATGTATATGATGCCGAGCTTATCAACTCATCACGAGATCTGGTCGTCCACATCGTGATTCGCTGTCACTATAAATTTCAGGACTTTCCATGAACTACAACTCTGGGCACTCTGTTGGTATCATCCTATGTGACCCTTGTACTCTTGCGTGTTCCGGTTCAGTAAAACGAGACAGGCATCCATCTGATAGCAAATAAACAATCTATGGAACGGAATAGTGACAACCTCTTCATTCTGAGAGCACAGGCAAAGATTACAGAAACAGAGAAGATGCTTAAATGGGTGGTGCGCCATATCGATGACGTCGCAACACTGGATTTTGCGGACTCTGAGTTCAATTCCTTGATCTCCAACGCAATTCGAAATCTCGACACAATTCGCAGCATCATCTTGCGGCACGAAGAACCTATAAATCTCCAGGTTGAGGCGATCAAACTATACGACCACATACACAGTGCCAAAGGGTACTTGGAGCGAGTCAAGATGGAGGAAGATCCCGAGCGATACTGGCAGCGTCGATGTGGATCTTTAGACGAGATGCTTTCAGGAGTCTCACAGAGACTTAATCAATCGAAGCGTGAGGGTGCGATCTTTGATAATAGCGACGAGCGTTTGAAACCACTCAAAGCGAGAAAACTTGGCACTCTAGAGGTTTACCTTGTTACATATCTCAGACAGCGAACTGGCCACACTGGACCATCTTTGACAGTCTTTTGCACAAGTAGTTCCAGATACTCCGTCTACATGGTGTGCTCATACAGATGTTTGTGACTTATCAGATTAGTCGCCATCATTTAGGAGCTTTAGCCAACTAGGATATGCTAAGGGCTCTGTATAGGATATTCCCATTGATGTTGCATTGTAGAAACCGTTTCAGTATGGCAAGGCATCCTGGATATGGTGGCAAGCGATAAGAAGGCTGACAATCACGATGATCAAGTGATATCGACTGTGATGAGGGATCAAGCACGCCACAAGCTTTGACAGGTGAGTTTTGTTCAAGAGATAGTCTATAGAACTACGAGTCTCGTCAACTCAAAACGACTCTTGACGTAAGCCACATTAAACGTCACTTGAAACAATTAAGTAAGTCAAAGCTTATACAGTCTTCATTATAGCTTTTTTGGAATCCCAAGAAGTTCAGTATGAGTCAAAACCAATCATAGCACCGTGTGCTCCACAACTTTCCGTATTATCTAAGCAGTGAAACCTTGGCAGTAAGGTGATGCCTGGGCTTCATCATGGTCTCAGCTCCGGCACCGTCTGACTGAAGTCGTCAATCACCGCTGCATAATCGTCAATCTCACTCGTGCCGAAATCATCTTTCTGAACAATTTTGTCGTTAGCCATAGAGCTTGTCATATCAGCAGCAGCTGTATCAAACATAGAAGTTTGACTCGAACTAGCAATGGGCTCCAGAGTTTGTGTGGTTTGGGGATCATCTTTGTAGACCGAGTCCTTTAATGGTAGATCACCACGGCCGTCGTTCGATGGTTCAAGGCCCTCGTTCGATTGCCCAATGCCGTCTACTAGATCGCTCATGCAGACCCCATTGGGGCTGGATCTCCAGTGGCGACTTCACTCTCAGTCTGTCGTACCGGCTCAGCGTGTGCGAAAGGACTCTTCCCGCGCCTGATGATACCTGATTCTTCCTTATCCCTTATCATCCAGCGTTGTACCACCAAACAAGATCGTGGGCTGCATCAATTTGTCCTGATCTTCCACGTCCCGAGGGCTGTTCTCTCGATCCTCGACTTCCACATAGATCGCCTCTTGCTCTTCTGTCGCAGAAGAAATCTCGTCCTCCGGAGTCTTGTCGTTTTGGAAAGACGGGAGGATGCTATTTCTTGCAGTGGAGCTGAAAGATTCCGACAAAAATGCAGCACTCTCATTCCCTCCCGTTCAGTCAGCGAGTGATGATGCAGACTGATCTGAGCTTACTCCTCTCATTCAGCGCTTGACAACGCCAGAATTCTCATCAGTACACCGAGTCGATAGAGACATGTCGGAGTCGCTTCCCGATATCGGGCTGCGCTGTTGACCCGAATTCAGTCTGTCTAGACCAGAGCTTACATATGTGTCCATATCGACTGTTGCAGGATCTTTAGCTGAACTCAACAGGTAATGTGGAGATGTGGCCACGGATGCGCTCTTCGCGAGCTCTCCATCAAGACCATCGGGCCAAACTTCCTCTGCCGTCTCTGAGTCAATATTCCTGAGCTCTGACAGCCCGGTGTTAAGCACCAAGTCGAGGTCGGATTTCTGATTCTCCGTCCACGTGCTAGTTGAATGATGAACCTGCCACGGTCTATTTGCTCGATTAGACACTCTACCGAAGTCCTGGATGATGCTAGGGACAGCGTCATCAGATGGGTGGCTGCGGTCGTTGCCTCGAAAAGGCTCCCGATCTAGGTTGTGTACAACACAATCCACGATTTTATAGCTGTCGATGTCGTTCCGCGTTCTGCTCTCGTCCGTTGACTGGTTCGGATCTATCTTGTCGGCTTCAGATGGTTTCAGTGTTTCGCCTGACTCATCGTCATCCGGTGTAAATATATGGCGATCTTTCTGACGTTCACTGGTCGGCGTCATCGCCATTGATGCGATACAAACGTTGATTTCTGAGCTGTCAAGGTCTACGATACCATTCTCCAATCCCAATGGAGCGCTCGAAGTCCCGACATATGCGGAAATATGATCTGAGAATTGTACTGCGCATTGCGCGGGTCCTGGTCCATCAAGTTGGTATTCATCGCCAGGATCTTTTGACGATGGAGAGGGACTGACGCGTAGCCTCACTCTAGAGGATTTAACAGTTGAATCCTTGGTTCTTGCTGTATCTTTTGCCAATCCTGCAACATCAGCATCACGAGTTGTGTTAGTAGCATGGAGATGGATTTGAGTGTTCCCCAAAGCTTCTGCCCTATCTTCACTGGGCGGGCCAGTCTTGCCGACTTCGAATTTTCCAACCCCATACTCCGTGTCTTCTCCTTCAGCCGGCAGACTGTTCAGAGTATATGTAACTCGTGACTTAGCGCAAGTACTTCTTAGAGTCTCCAAGTCTTTTCGAAGATCCCGCACTTCTTCATCCATGCCGGTCACAGATGCCTGTCCAGTCGACATTGTCGAGATGACTGCTTTGGTCTGAGATTCAATTGCAGTCAGAATGGCCGCTTGATGATCACGGATACCGCGGTTTTCATCGCTGAAAGCATGTTTCATCTACACTTATCTGTCAGTATACGGTGCTTAGCGAACGCGAGCTCCTGTCACAAACCTGAGTGGCTAATATTTCGCATTCCCGCCTGTCGATTTGAGATGCCTCCGCCATATTCTTCTTCAAAGTGTTCGACAAGGTTTTTGTCATAGCTGAACCCACCGAAGCAATTCCCTTGGTTACACCAGCATGTGCGATGCAATCCCTCGACGCTCTGTAAAGCTGTTGCAAGTGGTCATTGGTCGCCTTGTATAATACATCGAGATCTTTCAGTGTTTGTGCTGTGATCTGTCTAGCCAGCTTCTTGTCAAGAATATTTACTTGTTGCGAAAGTTCTTGGGTTAAACTAGACCGTGTGAATTCAAGTCCTTCTTTGAACTGTGCCAGCTGCCTAGATAAGCTCTCATGGAGGCCAGAGATGATACTCTCTTGCATGTGTGGGATAGGTATGTTCTCGCGCTTACACGTTTTCTCAGCGAGCATCTCCTCCAATCCATGCATAGATCTTGTGATAAGGTCTACAAGTTATGTGCTTCGACTCGCCTCTGTGGTTGTTCCAACTCCATAATCAAGGCTTCGCATAGTGTCGATGACCTTAGCGGTGAGGACTTCCTGCATTTCCAGAGTCTGTAAAAGTTCAGTCTAGCGACCTGCAACTTATCAATCGTTCTTACCTTTGTTGTATTCTCAACCAAGTCCCGCTGCAATAACTGGAACTTGTCACAGAAAAGGTCTTTCAGAGAGCCCTCGCTTCGGGTTGAGGCCATGTCTGCAGTCCGGGGGTGCGATTTGTCGGTCCCGGGCGGCTGCATAGCAGTGGGGCCACCTGTCGGGCCCTCGAAGTCCGTCACATCAGGACCACCACCGGTACACCAACTTTGTGGGCTACGACCAGATGATGTCACCTCTGTCGGAGTGTTGAACCGGTTGTCAAGGTCCTCATCTGCATTGTCGCCCAAGCCTTCAGGTGTGCAATCTGCATTGTCGGTCTGTGGAATCATCCCTGTCGGGTCCGGAAGGCCTGCGTATTCGATTGAGTCGCTCATGCCTGATGAAGCTGAGTTATATCTGCTTCTTGCTATGATGAGACCATGAATGTCCACTTCATATCCATTCTTGTCTAACTCGTTCCGCCCGAGCGGGAGAATCGATGACCCTCCTGAAGGTCTTGCAGCTGATATGATTCGATCCCTTGCACCGTCGCCGCTGGACCCGCTTAGATGTCTAAGGACTTCTGTTAGATGAGCTTGTTGGATCGGTCATTTGGCACAATGATCTTCGCGTCCCCAATGACCATGACCTTCCCCCTCTGATACCACACGATTGAACAATTCCACAGCCTTTTCCCACGGTGTTTTCCGAGATATACTGGCTAAGTCTTCGAGAAAGTGGACGCGTTTGGCATGCCAGTGATAATGTTCAATATAATCATGACCCCAACGGCCTCCGATTCCGTCTAGAGCTTTGTCTTTGCGGTGACGTGGAACAATCTTGTTTGTATCGTCCACAGTTATACCGTTCTTCCTTAGGCAATCTTCAAGCTGAGCCGCACAGTTCTCCAGCTCATCTTGCTCTTCTATGATGAACCTGATGACCACATCCTTGATCCTGGAGTATTCCGTGTTGTTTCTCGATCTCAAGACATCTTCTAGGTGATCTATCACTGATTTTGTACCACCTGTACGTAGTCTCCTTTTGAGTTCTGTCGACAAGCGGTCCATTTTGCGCCTTTAGTGGTGCGGAGAAGAGAAAGTCTTCTACTAGAGGGTGATTGACAAGTACGGATTCACCGCGATCGGAGCAAACGCTTATGTGCTCAAGACCAGCAGGTTTGGACGACAAGAAGCACTACTCGAGACGTGATGTGTGAACTTCGCATCTTCTGGCAAGGCGTGAGGGGAGGCATTGGCTTCTTCATCTGAACTTTCCTTCTTCGCACATGAGAATACATTGGTCTATTCAAAGGCACATCACACTCACTCGCTGGAAAATTACGTGTTTATGAGAGTCTGCATACATGCGAGTCTTGAGCAAGAAGGTTGTTTTTTGCCAGAAAGCTATCGCTGGGCATAGGTGATGGCGCCGTTGTGAAGGCTATCACTTCCGATGAATCAGGTGAGTCTCGTCATCGCTTGACACTCGATATGTCATACTGACAGGCAAGAAGTTGTATCCCAAGTCTTAGAGTCGTCGACAATCTGCTTCCATGACTCAATCATTCGATCTATATCTCTCAAAATCTTAGGGTACTATAGAGTAGAGAATTAGAACAATTTTCGAAACGTAGAGGAGTGGAAGTCCCCACGCGGTCACCCACCAGAGTTGTAAATTGTCTTTCAACTGCTTGTGCATGGCAGAGCGGAACCTCCAGCTAATTGGGGCCTTACGTGCTGAAATCTCATTGCAGTGCGTATCACTAAATACAACAATGGCTGCTTTGACATGTCCAGGCTGTAATCTATCTTGGTCGACAGCTATGACGTGTCTTTAGCAGCCTCAAACGATTCAAAGCTGCTACATGCTTTGCCGATCGAAGGTTTTGGTAACTGTCCTTCCATTCGATGTTCGGTGCTACAAGAAATCGGTATGTTTGCGCTCAAGTCAGGCCGAAACGATGTTTCTGCTTGTTTGACTTTGATCCACAAGCTTGACCTATAATGTAGATGTTGACCAGTGAGTTTCGCCGTTCTCGGCCGAAACCCCGAGGTGTCACTGCATGCAGATCGTAATGAGCTACCTCTCAGCATCCTCCCATCTGGAAGAAAGAGAGGAGGCGTCATCGTAGACGATCATGGTGAGAGCCAAACAAGATATATTACACAGACCCAGGTTCTTTTGAACTACAATGATAGCGTGTGGTGAGCCAACTTACTTGTGTCAGTATCCCTTGTATGGTGACAGTGTTCATATTTCGGGAGTTGTAGAGACTTCGTCTGACATCAGGGTTCAAGGCCGCGATATGTGTTGTGATTACGTAATAAGCAGGAGTCTCTTTTCTGCCATATCGCAGCTGATTAGAACTCTCATTGCGCGAGATAGGATATCTCGTTTCACGCAGATGAACATGAAGCAGAATACAGTATAACACACAAAAGAACCGGATTTAAATCACGAAGGTCCACGTTCTGGCTCCTCAGCCAACCTGCACAGACCATCGCCAATAGCTGACATACCGCGCACAGCTTGTGCGGACAACGTCTCTTTTAGTTGCGATTAGTTGTACCTCAGTCGCTGTTGCATCTGTGCGGATAAATATAGAAAGACTCGTGTCCGATCTTTGCTTCACTGCCATATAAAGAGCACACTCACGATAACTATACTGTCTCCACACTCCTTCTTCCACACTCTCAACCAGCCACGTCGCTTTTTCGTGCTTCATAATCTATCATCCTAAGCCAAAATTTTCTCGAGGCGACGAGAAACACTGGTCTGTTCAATGATGAGCAGTTCATCATCAACTGCAGACTCTTTCGTACAGCTGCGTGATCCCAAACTTTTTCTTAGACGAACGCAAGAAAGTCGAGCGAGCGCACGTACGCCGAAACATGGACAAAGGTCGATGGATAGTTGGACCTATATGCGAGAGTTAAGGCGTCTCCAAGAACGATGTGGATGCCTAGAGATGTACATGCTCGATTTGGAGAAACGGTTGTTCGACGCTCTTGATGCAGAACGCTCAAAGGCAAGTGCAAAGAGCATGAGGCGATTTGAGACACGCCCGGAGATACAGGGCTCATGTAGGCCCGAAGAGAGTTAGTCTAGGGTGGTAATGCTGGAGAACAGACTGTATCTGCACCTCGTAAGCTTATTGATAGATCTTGAGTCGAAGCTTCCTCAGACAATCCGAGTCTTGTTTGGGTTTGTGTTTACGCACGAATCGGGAACTTTACGCACTTGGTCGGCACAGCTCTTCTTTGAATCCCACCGATGATCCGCGAACTTGATAACAGTCTCGAATGCACTCCAAACAGCTGCAAGCTAAACTTGTGGTTGCATACTCTAAGAAGAAGATGGAGTGCCGACTGGAAAAACACTGCTTGCATTCAAAGAAGTGCAATGATCCATGTATGACGTCTTGATGGAGCATGAGTTTCCTCTCACAACCTGTGCCTCTTCTTACTGCGGAGACTTTCAAGGCTTGGTACAGAGAATGAAGCTGACTTGATCCCGTAAATCTGAGTGTGACCGATGGCCAAAAGATGCCCTCGCTTGACCATTCCGTATGTGAGCACAAGAAAAATTTTGTTTTGCTCTGATGGCAACATAATGTATGTGGAGACGTTTCCAATGATCATAATCACCGCTGGAGGTGAACGCTTTATCACTCGCTACTAATTAGCGACAAATTAGCTCTGTTTATGGCTACGTTAGCTTCGACGAAGAGAACGATGTGGTCCATGCTATATCATATGTCTCTGTGTTCGATTTCTCTCCGTAGATTCAGAATCTAAGCAGTGATTGCACTCGCGTCGCACCACCGATCGATTTGGCCAATTTATGCCGCTCGATTACTCAGACCGGACTGGATCCATCAAACTTTCATGGCAGCCCATCCAATTGATATGGACGACAATTTGAGCATGCTTCTGCCGAAGCAACTGAACAGAAAGCGAATCCGCTCGAGCAGTCTCGCGGGAGATGCATGTATCAACGACACGTCAATGGTGAACAGTCTGTGTGCAGATCACTACAGTCCTCGTCAGTGCACGAATGAGTGTCACAGCTACCCGATCTTCAAACGGCGGCATTGGTAGGTTGAGAAATCTGCTGCATGCGCAAATATATCTAATCTTACACCCAGGCGTGCCGAAGTTCGAGACTGTAGTACGACAGGCATCAGATGGCAAACGAGACGTCTGAACGGATCAAGAAGCTTCAAAACGCTTCTGGGGTTGGAACGAAAGATGCTTGCAGAGCAACTGTGTGTCTTCGGAGTTCGGAGGTCCCAATGAGGCGTAGGCTTGACGTCTGTCGTGCCGTAGATCTTCAGGCAATGCTCTTCTCAGACAGGCACAAGCTTTCCATAGGTATAGTCAGTACTTGGTCCATAAGATGATGCCGTCTTGTACGTACGCCATATGATTTCAGATGCCATCATGCCTCAACCTCCGTCAATCAAGATGCCATCTAGCAAAAGAGATGTAGAAGCTCAATCTCTTTGACTGACTGACTAATTGACGTATAGCTATGTATGCTAGTAGTAACCAGAGCACTGAAATGCTGCCCAAGCTAAAGACATGGGATATTGTAGCAACCCAACTCATCTTCGAATTCCGAGAGCCATTGACGACTGTTCTAGGCTTGTACTCCTCTTAGCCGAGAAAGCGCCACATTTGGAGGTGCACCTCGGGTGTCTTACGGATCCTCAAGCGGTACATGTGAGGCTATTGATTGAGGGCGCTCTTTCGGATAGCTTCAAATAACTCCTACACTATTCCAGTCGCACCAAGGATAGAAGTTGGACATGTCAGAAAGCTACAGATAGGCCCTGAACGGTCTCAACTCGAGCAGAGTGCATAAGGGCTACGCAAGACTTTCGTGTTATGAAGGGCATCGAAGGGTCGAAATTCTTAGCTCGTCTTTTGTAAAGAAGTTTACTTATGATCACCAAAATACACAAGCGCCGACAGCTAAGTTCGGAGCTTGCTGAGGACCCTTAGGTCTCGATATGCCGGTTTGTGATTCAGACCTGGCGACGAGGAACTCGGGATGACTGCAGCAGCCTGGTACGATTTGTCAGCATCCATCATATCCCATATCGTAGGTATAGGCGGACGAATGACTAGATCTGTACCCGTTGGTGCTGGCTGGGTTCAAGCTCTTTGAGCTTGTCGAATCCGGGGCTCAGCAGAAGATTACGTATCTTCTCTAGCAGTCCTTGAAGTTGCCTGGGTATTCCTAAGTGATTTATCGATAGTGTCTGAAGCAGCCCTAGCTCGTTTTGAAGCTCTCGACACAGATGCAGAATATACAATCCTCGATCACATGCGACAGGTGCTTCAACGAATCTTACGCGGAATGGTCTTATGCTTTTTGCACTGAGTTCCTCGCCATCAGACTCTACATTGCAGCAGCTATTGGGGACTTGTTCGCGTGCTGGCATCTGAACCGCGATACTCATCACGAGATGACCCTTTGAGTTCCAGATGTCGAGCCGAAGTTTGGCGTTTCGATGATTGGCAAGAGGATTCGGGCGATGACATTGACCTTTTGTAGAAGACAGATCACTCCAAGAGATGAGAGACTCTGGCTGAGTAGAGTGGCCTGGATGTGTCAGCCATACCTCTTGAGCTGTCTTTATCGCCGCAATCGATTAGTCTGAGCATTCTTTGGCGATACCCACCATCGTATCACCATGCATATCCCCTGGTCTGGAGGCGCTAGCAGTCGACGTGTCTAATTCGTGTACAGATCTATCTATAGTTCAACATGGTATAGTAGCTTGCTGCGTGTCTTCAGGACTGGAATTGCCTCTGCCCTGCTGTGCAGAACGAGCGATTATCTCATCTTCCATCATGTGGCCAGGATCGGAGCACTCCCTCTACATACTACCTGGGATTCCTGGCTCTTGTCAGGCATAAGCCTCGCAACACAAGATCGCAAAGATAGGTGTACAATCTTTGTATCGTGACTGTATCATGACGATATTGTTTCACGATCTGGCCACATACTTAATGGCTACTCAGTCAAAACTACCAACTCGGGCGGATGTGCCGTCCACATGGTTTGGTATGAATCTACAGCTGTAAGCTCAAACTCAGGCACTTTTACAATCAGAACCTCATTTGACAAACGCTCACACTATATTTGTCTCTAGACTAAGCCCTTGCCACAGGAGTGACAGTCGTCATTGACGGGAGCTCGATCTAACATATACGCGCAGATACAATCGTCGTGCGACATTACACAACTGCATTGTCAAGCTCGAAGCGGTACGATACTGCCTCCATTATATAAGACTTTTTTGACTAGGCCAGCAGAAGTGGCTGATGTGTGGCAAAGTCAGAGGTGATGTCACGACAGTGATCACCGCCATGCATCATCTGGGATTATCCATACATGATGATTTCCTACCAATCATCCAACATCCGACCTTGAAACGAGTGACTAAGTTGATCTCTATGCTTGGATAGCCTATAAAAGCCTGCCCACGGACTCGCAAACAACTCAGCCCGGCTTCATCTGCCTTATGATCTTGAAGACGATTTTAGCTATCTCCACCTCCGCTGCAAGCGTTGCTCTGGCCTTTCCATCCACCTCACATTACACAACAAATGCTACCGACTCCCCACCTGGGTACCGAGTAACGTTCTCGCACAACTGTCCGGCAACGTCGAAGGTGTTCCCACACTTCATAGTCACTAACGGCAGCGCTTGCGCAACGCAGAATGTCTTCGACCAGCCAAGCTCCCAGGGTGAAGTGCGTGAATATATGCTGAAGTCCGGTCCAGAAGGTCAATCCACTTGAGCTTTTTGGATCTATGATCAAGCCAATAGCACTGGACCCAGGGCTCGAAGTTTGGTTGAGGCCACCTGCGAACTGAACTCTAGCAGATGCAATATGGACATCAGTAACATTGAAGCGGCGAGCAATGGGTTTGAGGTGACAATGGACGCGGAGACCTGTTCTACCATCGGACCGGCAACAAACGTCAGCCCGAACTGTGCCCCTTTGAGCTGTCGTGTTCCTTCAGGTTGGCAGTGTCCCATCCCGAACCGCTTCGATCAAGGTTCCGGCAAAAATTATCCTCTCGCGTACCTTGATCCTCTCCAGAGCTGCGTTTCCAATTGCACTCTATACGGCTCAGATGAGGCTTGCTGCAGGAACGTGAACAGCACAGAACAGACCTGTACAAACCAGAATCCAGCTCTACGAGACATGTGTGAAGATGCGTACTCCTACGCGTATGACGATAAACGAGCAGCGTTTGTGTATCAGCTCACATTCGACGGAGATACTGCGATCAACATCATAGCATGTCCTTGATGTCGACGAGTCGAAGAGTTTCGTCATCAGACTGCATCGGAAGTATGCATGCGTTCACCACTGTTTTGTGTATGCGACTACTATTTACTCTCAGGTCGCTTTGTAGAGGCAAAAAAATGCCAGTTCGAGAGTAGCGTTATGACTACAGCACGAAACAATGGGTTTGTAGTATATGTTAAATACCGACTTACCATTCCCGAGGGTCTCCGCACCCAGAGAAGTGTCCTGACAGGCACCTTGTTTTACGGAAAAAGTACTGAAGACCGGTAGCTCGTGCTGAAAAATTGCAAGCCATACCCATGAGGGCTCTGAATTTTGTGGTATGCCACTTACAGAGAACCCACAGGCACACTTTGTTCATGAAGATGTAATGATTCGAGACTCCATCAATGAGCCATGGACTGAGTTCAGTACCACAAAACAGAACATATGATTGAGTTTTGGATTAGGAACAAGTGGCACATTAGCTAAACCCGCGTCACTGAGTCAAGACTGTCTGACGACGCACACGCTTTTGGTCTACAGAATCTTCGGATAATACAGTTTGGCTCACCAACGCCGTTTTGAACATCAATGTAATCCATCAATTCGTCATCAGGCGATCCTGGAAAATATAATGCTCGAGAGGGTTGTGCTTGATCATGGTGAGCGGAAGACGGTTAATCCACTCTGTTGACACCGAACCATCATATCTCCTGACACCTTAGATGTAGCGCGACTCTATTTAGGCGGCGGACGTTTTGGCATGCTCAGAGCGATAGTGAAGCCTCTCGTGTAAGAACTCTGGACCTCAGTCTCTACCAAACAAGCAAGAAAGCCTCTATCATATGCAGGATCCATTCTTTCGAGTACCTTGAGAATCTTCGACCGCTTTGAAATATGTTTGTTGGTATCTACAGTTGATTTGTCACGGCTACTGGTTTTGAGATATGTATTTGCTTTCGTGCATGTGCTCTTAAGATGTTGATGGATGTTTCGTTTTTGCATACTTGGTAGTGCCACGAGGAAGTTAATGACAGAGGCATAGCAAGAGAGCGTTGTAAGGCGCCTGGAGGGTGACATAGGTCATTGGATCGTTCGATCACATGAGCTTCTGTGTCAAGATACCAGCGCCGAACATAGCCCCTACCGTCAACAGACTTGAGAAAGACATAGCGCTTAGTCCAGACAGCCCGTGTCCAGAAGTACAACCTCCACCCAACCTAGCGCCAAATGTCATGACAACACCTCCTACAAAAGCTTGCCAGGATGGAATAGCCGCATCCGACGTAACGCTGATCGCAGCAGGTACGTTCTGCAACAAGACCGCGCTGCCCATAATAATTCCGATGGAGAAAATAATCGAATTCGTCAACCAGCCCTGTTTCTCCAGGCGCCCAGTGAAGGCCTGGAGTACGTTCTGGCTTAAGTCTTCGTACGCTGTCGATACACCAAGGGGCTTGTGCATAAGCAGCAAAGAGAGTGCCTGTACAGATCCGATGAGCAGACCGCCCATTACCGGTGAGACAAGACTGCTTCCGAATTTGGCCCTCGTCAACGATAGGACTCCCACGATTCCTAGCCCGAAGATCGAGTATAATGCCGCTTCCGAAGCCCGAAACACTTCAGAGATGGTCTTCTTGCAAGGTGCTTGCTTAGTATCTTTATGTGGATGTGCTTTGAGTTCCATCCAGTCTCGAGTCCTGACGTAGACGACTGCGCCTAGAATCGCGCCAAGAGCAGTGGCATCTGCGGACGGTATTCTCTGAGCGAGCTGCACAAGGACTGTGCCGGGACACGCGCCTGATAGGGCCATCCCGATACCGACCAAGGCGCCACCAGCGATATTTGCGTCGTATGGTGTCCACACGCTGACCTTAGCGTTCGCTCTGACGGGTCGTTGATTCATGTTTAGCTTTTCGAGGATGAGCATGACCATCCTAAGATAAGAAGGAGTTAGTGAAAGCGTTCACTCAACCTAGCGACGTACTGGTCTCACTCACGCGCTTGATCCCATAGCAGTTGCAAACACATGGAACATGTGGAAGTCAGTCAACCGGAATTGATCAACGATCACTGAGGGCATGTACACGCCAGATGCTGCGAGCGCAGCACCAAAAGTAATGCCAGTGGCAAGAGTGGCCGTGGACTCAGATAGCATGATATCAATGTATGTTCGATTGATATTTTTGCTGGTTAGGGATTCTGGATTGCAACTGTCTTCCTAACTGCTTAGATTGGTCTTCAAGGCAGTGCAAGGTTTGAAAAATCGATTCCTAGTTGTCCAAGACACTAGACGGGGATACGATCTGGTGAAAGATATAAAAGGTAGAGGAAGGCGTGCGCATTAGTAAGCCGTGGGGTGCTGTTGCAGAGTCCCCGAAGCCAAACAATCATGGTAAGTCATACTGTTCGCCGACTTCATCGGCGACTCTAGATCGCCTGTTCCCCCGGCCAAGCGCAACGGCATGTCTCGGCTAACGATCTCGGGCAAAGCCGTAGGTCACGGAATTTGTACTTATAAAGAGTGTCAAGCATATCTACCTATATACTTAGGCAACTTATAAGGGATAGGTAAGTCGCTAGTAAGCACTTAATGCTCTAGCATAGATTAGTTAGTTAGTAAGCACTCTAGTGCTTAGAGTTTATAAGCACTAGTGCCTACTTACTTATTAGTAGGTATTACGATCCTGCTAATGACAGGGTCGCGTAACCTACTCTATTGTTCTCCGCACCTTGGCAAGATAAAGCACTCTATATAAACACGCCATCTACTCTACTCTACTCTCCTGCTCTGCTCTATAGAGCACGACAGAGCATATAGAGCAACATGCATACACTTATTATCTACTAAGTATATAGGTAGGCAGGAACTTAGTAGGAGGTCCTACGTTTAACTTAAATAGTTATTCTAACAGTCCCTTTAGTTTATACTACATATTATACTATTTGCTTTACTTGCTTAACACTCCTCTTTACGAGTACAAATCCCGTAACTAGTTATTCTCCCTAGAATAGTTGGCCATATAATAGTAGGATCCTCCTATAGGGTACGTACCACCCTATTAGTAGGCGCCTCCTACCGCATATATAACCCTAACTACTAATACGTAGGATTGTAATGGCTCCTTCTCTAATAGTAAATCGTTCCTATAGCTATAGAGTGGTTTATACTTATATCAAAACGTCTTAAAATCTGAAGATTATCATAGCCACTAGATTATGGTTTATAACACTATTATATGCTCAAATATTCTGATGTGGATATTGCTAAGCTAAACGAGTAACAAATGTAGTAGCCGAACAAGATTATCTGTATTGTTGCAGGCAAGGTAAGGCGTTATATGTTTCGCGGGGACATCTCTCCATTGCGCTGTTCGCCGACCTCGAGGTCACTTACAGCTTCGTACTTCTCGGGATTACTCGATTGACCTCTCTTATTGTCAACAGTTAACTCCTTTCCATCCATGTTACTGTAGCCACGCTGAACTTCAATTCCCTCCCAACGATATATACAATTGCCGTCAATTTCGAGTTCTGCTGCGGGCAGGATCCCTGACCATCAAGTACCCCTTTCCAGGTAATCACAAGGCGCACTGCAGCTACTTGTCCGTACTTACTTTGTGAGCCAGATTTGATTTTCCGGCGTACAAGAACATTTCAGTATCATTGTCAAGTTCAGGATCACAAAACACGGTCCTTTATTTGCTCGGCCCACTTGTCCATAATGCCGTTTTTCTCTCGCATCAAAGGCTCTGTCCTTCATAACACGGGTAGCACTGCTCGCGACCACCTCGCCTCGGAACGCACCTTTTTGTCTTGGATGCGCACCGGCCTAGGTTTCCTTGCCCTGGGTATTGGTGTCGAACGCTTCAATCAGCTGTATCTGGCCGGACTTCTACGCACACCCAAGTAGAGAGAAGGGAAGTCTAAGTTAGAGAGAGAACGATCGGGAGGAAGACCAGATGAATTGGTCAAGATATTGTTAGGCAGCGGGCTGGGCAGCATCTTGTACGGAACCTCCAGATACTTTTCCAACATGTCGTATCTGCAGAAAGGATTGTTTAAGCCTTCCTACTATGGAGCTGCAGTACTTGCGGGAGGTATCACAGGAATCGCTAGCGTGGCTTATTGGAGAATGGCCAAGGACAGGATTGAGAATGACGACAGCAAGTGTTGAGACGTGCTCCGCAACCCTCAAGACAGTCCAGGTATCAATTGCGGGGCGCAGTGGTGTCACATGCTACAGATAGACAAGACAGGCAGACCTGTCAAATACGATCATTCCTTACCTTGTTGGTTGTTGACTAGTTGATAAAAAAGAAGAAAGACAGAGAGGAAAGCTGTCAGCTGCGCTATCTTCTTGTTGCGAACCTGGGGTGCATGCCCGTTCATGTCGGCGAAATCACACCAATGATCCCGGTGGGACCATCGCCGACAAACACATGACACGGAGGAAACCCATATACACGCGGCTAGGGTGTTCTTATCGATCTTTGCAATTATTCATAGCTACAGCTCAATACCAGATGTATTCTTCTCACAGTTCCTTCAAAACCACAATCCAAAGAATGCAACGTTCGCTGTCAGCACACTGGAAGCAAGCGCCTTCATGTTTCCCTCACACAAGGCCGGCTGGTGGTTTTCACGACTTGCGCCCAATGTCAATGCACCATTTCTTCCGTAACGCCCGAAGCTGCTCCTTCCATCCAAGGCCCGCTTCATCGTCGTGCCACGGACAGGGATCGGACAGCATCCCCCTCATCGTTCATACAGAGATCATGACCCCAACTGTCACGATTGACAGTGCTCACGATCCCAACACAGGAACATGGCAGTATATTGTTACCGATCCTTACTCGATGAGTGGCATCATCATTGATCCAGTTTTGGACTTTGACGAGACCACATGTACTGTCAGCACAAGCACAGCCGATCGCCTGCTGTCACTTGTCCGCGCAAAAGGCTATCACATTTCGCGCATACTCGAAACCCACACTCACACAGATCACTTCAGCGCTTCTTCGTACATCCAGGCTACTCTAGAGCGAGATCAGGGTCATAGACCTTTGACCTGTATTGGCAAGCGGTCCCGACAAGTCCGACAAATGATGTACGAAGAGTGCGGCTTTCTGCCTGATGTGCTCGCGTGTGAATTCGATGAGTTCCTTGACGACGATGGAAGCTTCGATATTGGCTGTCTTCAAGCGACTGTCCTCCACCTTCCTGGCCACACTCTAGATCATGTAGGCTACATGATTGAAGGTAATTACCATTCCCTAGTCCTGATTCGAATGCTGCACATGCTAGAGGCGGCTGACCCATCCTTCGCAGACAACGTCTTTTGCGGCGACGTCCTTCTCAATGCTGACCTGAGAATGTCCTCCTGCGATTATCCAAGTGGCAATGTCAATGAACTCTACAGTTCTACACGCAGACTACTCGGCTTGCCAAATCATTATAGACTCTGGATAGGGCATGACCATACCACACCTACACGCCAATGTCCCATGCCATACCTGAGCGTGGGGGAGCAAAAGCAGCGCCATTGCCATCTTTTCAACGGTACCCCGAAGCCGGTCTTCCAGATCCCTAAAGATCAGCATGCTGCTGCATCACAAAGCAGGACTGTTGCACGTTGCTAAGATATTGCATAAGCATGAGTAGACTTCTGTACCGGCATGTGGATCGCAGGACGATATACCCACGCTGATTCACGATTCCATTTTGATTTTCCTTTCTTCTTTTTCCTTTCATCCTCTTCCTGTCCTTTTCTTTTCTTTTCTTTTCTTTTCTTTTCTTTTCTTTTCTTTTCTTTTCTTTTCTTTTCTTTTCTTTTCTTTTCTTTTCTTTTCTTTTCTTTT